TTTTTTCTCCGTGTGAGTATTAATATAAATTTCAACACAGTCAAACACAGTAGAGAACCAAGGAAATCACAGTAGAACAGAGAAAAAATACCGTCGAATAAATAAAGAAAACTAATATCGAAGAAATTCTAATTATTTGGAAAGTAATTCGCTGGCGTAGGTAATCAATGCGTAGCGGCGTAGGAGCATGAGCGAGATTTATCATCAACTGACCGCTGGCCGGTAGGTACCTGGGTGGGCGAGCGACAATACGTAAGCGGTGGCATATGGTTCGATTGACAGAGGAGTGGGGAACGGTCAGACGTAGGGGAAAGGTTCAGGCTGAACCGTTCAGCACAGCGCAGCGTCAGTCACCGGGTGGGGAAGAGAGTCCGGGAGGGGACACTTCCCCTCGAGTGAAATAGAAAAAGGCAGAATCCTTCGAAGTTTATATTAATGATGATATGATTTTCTATCGCCTTCTTCAGTCGGCTATAAGAACTCCTATGGTATTTTGAAACGCAGCTCCTATCGCCAATTTTTACCAGGGTACATTTTGCAATTTGGAACTATAAATTCTAGCCCGGTTTAAAAACAACGTATGTGCCTATAGTTTCCTTATGCACATAAGTGTTTTTCCAGAAGAGCCAGACTTTATAGTTCCAAATTGCAAAATGCAGTCCAATTATCCAGGCGCGCGATAGGTACACGCTCGTGTATTTTCAGCCGTGAATGGACCGTGTTTAACAGAAATGAACCAAGACACATCAGCTATTGCCAAATTTAATTGAGCAATTTAATTTTTTATATGAAACCGGTTGTGCAGATATTTGTGCAAACAGTGAATTTGCTGCATAGTACCATGCAAATTCTTTATAATTTTTTTGTAAAGTATAAACTTATCCAGTTCAATTTGGCAGTAGCTGATGTGGCTTAGTTCCTTTCTCCTCGATGCAGCCCGCTGATTTGAGGTGCCTGTAAATTTTGATTTTCCGGAGGCATTGGTGGGTGTAGTTAGAAATTTGCAACCCCCCCCCTCCCCCCCCCCNGCCCCATGGTTGCGTCGGGCCACAGCGTGGAGTCGGCAAATATTTTGATTTATTCCATCCCGTTTGTAGTCTGGGGAACTCGTCATTTCATAGTTGCGCTGCACATAATCATGATAACCTGACCATCATAATCGCATTATTTTTTCAATTTAATAATGATGACACTCATCTTTGTTTAATTTTTACCGGCTAAACTCCGCGGGTAAAATTTCAAAACTTACCGCTCTTATCATGCAAATCCGGAAAGCGACTGATGGAAGCTGAAAGTTCGTTGGAATTCAGAGAATTTTTGGTGTTTTGGTGAGATTCGGGATTTGTTACCATAGAAACGTGTTGACAAGTGCAAGTGATAAGTAGTCAAGTGCCAGTAGTGATTAGGTGTTTATTTCACACATTTCTCTTCCAAAGCTCTACTTTCTTCCAGTTTTTCTACGTACTCGAGTTTGGTGTAAATCCTTTTGTTGTTTGGCGCTATTATTACTTACCATCTTCGAGGTCTTATCATTTACTTAATCTTCTCATACACCGACAGTTCCTTTACGTACATTCTGCACCATGACCATTATGTGCTCATTTACAAGGTAGAGGTATATTAATCTTTATCTCCGGCTTCCTAAGTCAGGGCCACTCTGATGTGTTCCATTGCATTGAAATCCAGCCTTCAAAATAATGAGAAGGTCTCACAATGAAACGGAATGTGAAAGCATGCTGTAAGAATGTGATCCTTGCTGTGCTCACCGCTTCAACCACTGTCCTGGTATTTCATCTCGTCAGAGGGATTCACCCAGAAAAATATCAGTTTGATTCCGTGGAAAATCATGCAATCCTACCGGTGCCTCCGAAGAACCAACGTCGAAGTGCACTAGAAACTGATGACAAGAAAGATTGGCACAATTATCGCCAGATCGAAGAAGAGGCACGGCGCAAAGGTCCAGGGGAGCAAGGGGCTCCGGCGAAATTGCCTCCAAATCATGATGTTAAAAAATACAATGCTCTGTATGAAGTCAACGGTTTCAACGCTCTAATAAGTGACAGTATCTCTCTAAACCGCTCATTACCAGACATCCGCCATGAAGGTTGTAAGAATGAAGTTTATCGGAGGAATTTACCTACAGTAAGTGTTGTCGTGCCATTTCACAACGAACACTGGTCGACTCTGTTGAGGACAGTTTACAGTGTCCTCAATCGATCGCCTGCGTCCCTGATCAAGGAAATTATATTAGTAGACGACTTCAGCTCCAAAGAACATTCAAAGAAACCTTTGGATGATTATGTCAGGAAAAATTTACCAGAAGTCAAGGTTATCCATCTTCAAACCCGCCAAGGACTCATTCGAGCTCGACTAGCTGGAGCCAAAGCTGCCACTGCTGAAGTGCTAATATTTCTGGACTCTCATTCAGAGGCAAATGTCAATTGGCTCCCACCACTACTGGGTAAGATTCCTTAATTTCCCCTGAGATTTTCACACTGACAAGGCTAGAATGCTCTGCTCTGTCAATATGTGACAATCCTTGGTCAAAGAATCAAAACAGTCATAGGTAATCGAGCTCTTTGCATCACTGTTTGGAAGGGTTCGCTCAAAAGATCATGAGACAAGTGAGGCCAAAGCATGTTTGACCCTATCAAAGTTGGGGCACTGTGAAGTCAGGAGGTTTAAAAAGACAGTTGGACCGCGTTTAACAGAAAGAAACCAAGCCACATCAGCTATTGCCAAATTTAAGTAGGCAATTGATTTTTCTTACAAGAGAACGTTTGTGCGGATTCGTTTGAAAATTTCAAGGAATTTACTTCGTACTGTGGAGAAACTTCACTGAAATTTGCATTAAAATCTGCTCAATTGTTTTCATGTAAAATATTAAATTGCCCAGTTAAATTTGGCAATAGCTGATATGGCTTGGTTCCTTTCTGTTTAACGCGGTCCAGTCAGAAGAAATATTGAGGAGCTTAGAGGACAAGGCGCACAAGTGCAGTTTTTGCTATTTCTAGAAATACGTGTTTGAAGTTTCGAAATTATACGGATCCATATGGCGGAGAGAAAGTTCAAACTGACATTTTGATCCTCAAAAATTGGAATTTCAGACCGAATTTTTCTCAGAATATGCATCAAGACTAGTTTTACTCGAAAGCTTTAATATCTAAATTTTTTTTCCAAAACTGCGCTTATGTGCCTTGTCCTCCAAGCTCCTTTATTGATTTCTGATGAAGGCTGGAAGAGAGAATGTAATGCTGAGGGGATATCGACGGTGTAAGTCGGCAATCACATCACTCGGTTTGTGACGCTGCAGACCTCCTGTCATACTTTATTTTTTAAACGGAAAACCACTCAACGGCAATTCTTTAAAACTGCTGCAAAAACTTCTCTGTGCAAAAAAAATTCTGCAAAAATTTCAAGGAATCATGTCAATTTGTTCTCCTTTAAAAAAATAACATAGAAGCGGAGATTTTCAGACACCGCAAACGAGACATTGATTGCGGACTTACGCAATTAATATAATAATCCAAATGATTCCCCCAAATAATTTTCAGTTCATTCTAAAGTTTGCTCCTTCTTCATTTGTTTTAGGAAACACCATGAATTAGAAAATGTTCAATTCACGTTTAGTAGTGTGGCTCTGCATTCTCTTTAATGTGAAATATGATTTAGTCAAATTGAACCCCTTCATTTCAAGTTCCCTCTCCCATGATTTCATTAATTTTTAAGTTTTAATCTGATTCCTATAAGCTGTCACATCAAAGTGAAACTAGTCAACCTCCTCCGGCACATGAAACCCTTGCAATTTATCTCTTGGTATACCGAAATTTTTTGTATATCAAAAGCTCTTATACTCATCTCTTAACCTGACCTCACCGTATTGTTCTCCTAAAAAATTCCCAAGAGGTTCCTCATTCTGTAGATAATTGTTTGTGAAGTTCAACACGATCTTCCTGATCAAGGTGGGATATATAAACCCTCATACCCTCCTTCAATGAATTTGTTTGGTATCATCCACTTTTTTTTCCGAAGTTGTTCGTTTGTGAAAACCGACGATTCCTTCGAATTAAAAAGGTGCTTTTTGAATCAATTTAATAGATTAAAGGAAGCTTATTTAACTCATTTAAAAGCTGAAAGGAAATCAATACATGAGGTTCTCTCTACTTGAAACGTAATGAAGGAAGAGATAAAAGAAATCACTTTCAGTTTGTTTGATCTATGGCTTATCTGTAAAAACACGCCACAAGAACACTTGTTAATAGCTGATGCCTCCTGCTTTGCGTTGATGCTGACGGTCTCTGTGAGCTGTATTGATTTCCTCCTTAAAGAGAAATTCTTCTGGCGTATCAAAGAACAAATGTAATTCTGATCATGCTCTCTGTGCAATTTTGATTTTTATCGTCAAGAAAAGTGCTTTCAACACTCTAAAAAGAAGAGAATTAATGTGCGAAAAAAATTGAAACAAAGTTGTTGCTAAATTGAATATCGGAAAGTTATTTGGAAACTTTTTGAATACATTTTTAGGATTTTGGACTGTAGAGCAGCATCCATCAGGTTTTATTTTTGTACAACTGTTGTGAGAAATCTACACTTAAGGTCATTGAGCAATCTGCGGTTGTCACAAAATCAGGTTTTGATATCCCAGCCTGATGGATATCGAAGATGATATTATAGTCCAAATCCATGGGTGTGATTTTTTTTTTTATCACTGGTGAAAGTTCAAAATCAATATCTGGACTCCAAATTTTGGGTCTACTAATTTTTTTTAAAGGATAAGAAACAAACTTTACGTAATGTCCGAAGTTTTTTTAAAAAAAAATTCTTCTCTAAGTAAAGAAAAATTAGATGAAATTTCAAGATTACTTGTTGATTATCCTTAAGTATTTTGCCTTTAAAATATTAAGTTCTAGGAAATCTGCTGCGCTGTAGTTTGAGAAACGTATATTGGAACTTTCACCAACATTTCGACTCTTACATTTTTTCATAAGAAAAAACTTATAAATTTTTTGGATGTCATGTAATTTGAATTCAAGCCAATTCGCAATTTTTGATCAGCTTTCAAAACCGTTGAAGTTTGTTTGTCTCTCATTTATTTCAGACCCCATTGCCGAGGACTACAAAACGTGCGTTTGTCCTTTTATTGATGTGATAGATTTTGAAAACTTCCAATACCGTGCACAGGATGAAGGGGCCAGAGGTGCATTTGATTGGGAATTCTTCTATAAAAGGCTTCCACTCTTGGATGAGGACAAAAGGAATCCCACAAAACCATTTAAGTGAGCTATTTTCTATTTATTTCCTTTCCAACAACCACCGCTGTGTACATGAAAAACTACCCATCCAGTCTGTCAAACTGGATCGATTCAAACAATTATCTCCTCCTGACAGAATATGTAGCAATATTTTCCAAGTGTAATAATCTAAATTTTTGTGTCGATTTTTTCCTCTTGGGTTGTATTTTCGATTTTCTGCATTGCTCTAAGATAAATATTGATGGCAAAAGAGTGAAACCACCTATCTTTATTGTGATGCTTCAACATTTCCAGTCCTATTCTATTGTTTTAAGGGAAACAAGCAAACTTTAGAGCTTGAACTTTACAAGGAATAATGTGCCAACAAAGTAAAAGAATCAAGGAAGTTTCCAAAAACCACATTGATTAGTTTTTCAAAGAAAAAATATTAAGTGACAGGAAGTTTGCAACGTCTCAAATGGAGATACAAGGTTTTGCGTTTTAGCCATTGATTTGTAGTATTTTTTAACTGTTGTCTGTATCAAAGGATAAAATAATGGGCCAGGGGCAGGCTTTTTTTTAAAATTCATTCTCTGAGAGTATGGAGTGAACTTAGCCCCTAGCAATTTTTCAGATTTTTTAACTCAAAATGAAAAAGAAACCCCGTTTTGCAAATTCTAAAAATGAGACCAGTTTCAAATGCTATTTCTGGCAGGCTTTGATGACATGGCCACATCAAGTTTAAATAACCAATTGAAATCCAGTACTTAAATCAATTTTACGTTTTTTTCATTATCAGGAGTCCAGTCATGGCAGGAGGTCTGTTCGCAATATCAACAAAATTCTTCTGGGAGCTTGGAGGATACGATCCTGGTTTGGATATCTGGGGAGGAGAACAGTACGAGCTATCGTTTAAAATCTGGCAATGTGGCGGGCGCATGCTCGATGCTCCCTGTTCCAGAGTGGGCCATATTTATAGGAAATTTGCGCCATTCCCTAATCCTGGGATAGGGAACTTTGTTGGTCGTGTAAGTATATTTGTGTTAATATGACTTTTACCTCATGTTGATCCCATAAGATGGTGCTGCATTGGGAATTCTTCTTTCTTTCTTTCTTTCTTTTTTTTCTTCTTTTGATTAACAACATAATAAATTTATTATACAATGTCACTACTACCTACTAAACTGAGGTATCTTTTGACTGTGATTAATTGCGATTTAATGATAAATAAAATAAAGGTACCTATGATAGGTTAGACTAGAGCTAAACCCATCATTGAGATCAGGGATATGTAATATCCCGGTCTTTGGAGTGGAGAATTCTTTGAGAAACTGTTGTATTGGTTCATCGACAGTTTCCACAGAGAGCAAAATTGACATTGTTTCTAAAATTTCTAAAAATTAGATAGTAGGTTTCTGAAGACTCCTCGAATTTTTCCAGAGTGATCTTATAACTTCTCCAAAAATTGTAGAATTGCAAAAAAAAAAAAAAATACGAAAAACAGCCTCAGTCCCAGGGTTGCAGAAAGTTCTTTTACCCCTTTTACTACCGAAAATTTTAAGAGTGATGACTTGCTAGCTTCTCCCTTTTTTTCTATTTATCTGTAAGTTGCCACAATTTTGCGGAAATTTTAAAGCTGGTGTCAACCAGTCTTTATGTTTTCAGCCTCCTAATTAGTGTATACGACCTCCTTATTTTTTTACATGACCATAGTGACTCCTTGATCGCAGAAGTTGAGAAAATTTTGCATCCCTTCAATTGGATGGTATTGCACAGAAAGGAAGCAGGGTTTGATGGGAAAGAAGAGGTCCGTTTGCTTGGAAGCATGCATGTTTTGGGAAATGGAGCGTAAATGCATGTATAAGGACTCGTTGGCAGATACATAGGGATCTAGCAGGAACCAGCTAGTAAGTCCTTTTTGCAAAATGTAAGTCTTGTGTCTAGCATAAAGGAACCACAAGATGCATTCTTATGGAGGCTTACATTTTATTTCTCAAAACACGGTCGGTTTGAGGCCAAGACTAGGCGTTCTGTCAATAGCTGAGAAGTTACCCCTTCTTTCATTACAAAATCTGGTTCTTTTTTACACAATACCATCAACAGCTTGGATAATCACTTATGACTATCCATGAGAAAAAAGACGTGGAAAAATGAACATCGAGGTTTTGGCACCTCTCTTCAGAGGAGTGTTTTATGAACATTTTGGCTGAAGAAATGTCTAAAAATCTCTAACTACCTGGTCACTATTGGAAGTTTTTTTTCATCAGAATTATCGTCGAGTAGCAGAAGTGTGGATGGACGAGTATGCGGAGTACCTCTATTTGCGGCGGCCGTCATATCGGGACATTGATCCTGGTGATTTAAGTGCACAGAAGAAGATCCGGGAAAAACTTAAGTGTAAAAGCTTCAAATGGTTCATGGAAAATATCGCCTTTGACTTAGCAAAACACTACCCACCAATCGAACCTCCGGACTACGCATCAGGAGAGGTATGCACCGAATTTTCATGTTTCAACATTCTTTATCATGTTTCATACCTCAGTATTCAGAGCCTTCTTAAAGGTATTGTTCAAAGCGCTGTTGTGTGCTTGTTGTGATCTTTAAACTTCAAGTTGTGTGAGTTATCACTGTGTTAGAAATAGTGCATTGGGCTCTGATGTGGACTTTTGTAACTTCTCTTGGAAGAGGAGACCTCAGGAAGAAAAACGGAAAATTAAGATATTAGCATTACTTCATAAGTGAGTGCTTTATGAAGATTTTAGCAAGAAAAATAAAGATTCCTTTTAAATTGTTGCATGATAACTTTATAAAGTTTTTCATCCCGGAAGGATCATCAGTTTCAGCATGCAGTAAAATCTCAATTAGAGACTGGCCCGGTGCCACATGGACAAATCGGAACCATTGCTTTAAGGTTAAGATATTGGCATGACTGTGAAAAAAAGCGTCTTACAGACATGTTTGCTCTTCATCTGCTGTAAATTTTTAATCATGATAAAGTGAAGTTTGCAGTTCAAAATTGCAGTCTTGAAAACAATCCCAAATTGTAGTGAACCAAATTTTTTAGTCAAAATTTCGGAAATAAAATTCAATTTTACAGCCTTTATCAGCTCCTAAATGATCTAAACCACTCACGCCTTGTTCTCTTGGATAAAAAGAGAGCTGTTTCTATGGCATATTACTGTAATTTAGACCTTCTTTTAGCTATGTATCATGCTCTAATAATTTCCCACATTCAGTATTGCACCTCCATTTGGTAAAATTGCAATGAAAATAAATATAAAAGATATTTAAAGTGCAAAAAATGGCAGTGAGAGCCATTAATAAACTTAAAAGAAGAGTTTCATGTGAAGACAGTTTTTGAAATTATTGCCTGCTCACAATCCCTGCATTGATAATACAGAATTATATTAGATATTTTGTCAAGAAGATCAACTCGCTAGAAAGATGTGAAAATATCCACGAATATAATACTGGAAAAAAAAATCAAATTGCTTTCGGGTCTGATAATATATTTATGCAAACAGGAAGAAAAATGTACAATGAATTGCCTGAAAATTGAAAAAAGATGTAAATCTAAAAAGTTACAACAAAAATCTCAAAAATTTGTTGATCAAAAGGGTGCCTTTATTTAGTTAAAAAATCCATCGACAGCTGAGCCACTTAATGTTATCATATGTATATTAATGCATTTGTAAAGCCACTGTGCACTAAAATCAAACAATGCATTGTCTTATCCTATCTTATGGGCGGCTCAAATTTTGATTTTTCAACACAGTTCGTCAAAAATCACTCTTCTTTAAAATTGGCTTCTTTTCACTCTCTTGTAGACAGTTGCAATTAATAAAAATCGGGAAACTTAACACAAGAAAAAATGTAACAAACTATAAATGAGACTAAGCCTAAATATATATGTAACACAAGTTTATATGTAATGTAAAACGCAAATTATAAATAAATGAAAAACTCCAACTGCTCTGATTATTTTGAGTATTTAAATTTCTCCAACCTACGTTTTTATGCACTGCTGAAAACACTGAATATGTTAAAGTTCTTTGACCGGTCAAGAAAGGTTGCAAACCAAGCGGAGAGGTAACAGTCCTGTCAAGTTTTACTCTTGGAGTAATTTATCAATCTGTATCAGTCAAATTGTTATGTTGGATTAAGTAAGCTCAAATATAACATGTAAAAATTCCACAATTATAAACATTATTATTTGAATTCCAGGTGAAAAATTACGTGGCTCCTGAATATTGTGTGGACACGGAACATAAAAATCAGGACATGGAATTTGGTCTGCAAGAATGCACCTCAAACGATGATAAACATGAACAGGTTAGTGGAAATGGTGTCCTGATTATTTTAACGGATATACGGATCCATAGTCTTTTGGCCTGAGCAAAACGTCAAGGAACTTTTTCAAAGTTTTTTCCTGATTTTATAAGTAATTTTACAATCCTGTCACACTCAGTCATCAAACAAACACAATTCTTCAAAACTTGAACTCGGTGTTAGACCAAGAAGAGATGCTCTGATAGGTTTACAAGTAACGATTAACATTTTCAGATCAACATTGCTCAGATAGTTCAACACTTTTTCAATAACATCGAATGGAAGAACTGTGTAGTGAATGAATAGGTACCAACTCAGTTTTACACTCTCTTCTATCAAATCATTTCGAATTTTGCCTATTTTAAGGCGAGTTTTCAAAAGACTCCCATAGATAGGGAATTTGTCTTCTAGCCCATTTGTGTTGAAATTTTGAGCGATATCCTCTTGTTTCACAAGCAATGCTAATTGTCCATGATTTCTGATCAATATCTCAAAAAATGTCACCCCTGTTTCACCTATGTATTCATTTTTCATTTGATTAACCTCTGAGATGCACTGAGTTCTAAACTCGTTCATCCCTACCATGTACCTTGCTGCTGACTTTACAAAGCCTCCAATTTTATCATGCTTATTTACAGCCACTATTTTTATGACGTGGTTCATAAGTATCTCAATATTCTTGTATGTCCGTGTCATAGGTGAAATTCGTTCAATTTCTTTCATAGCTTGCTGGATGTTGATGGTTGCCCCAAATTCTAGTAGAAGCTTTAGGCACAAAGTTCTATCGCATGCAGACAAAGTCGAAACTATCAAAGATCTGCCGTTGGCATCCGCAGTGTCTATATTAGCCCCAGCTGCCAATAGTGTTTCAATAATTTCTGGTGTCTCGTTGACGTACCCACTGTTAACAGCACTAAATAGAGGTGCTTTTCCATTTTTGTCTTTCGATTCAACTTTTGCGCCAGATTCTACAAGTAACCTCACCATCCCAGTATTAACCCCATGTACAGCATGGTGGAGAGCAGTTTTCCCATTGCAGTCTTGTAGCTCAAGATCGACATTGAGCGTAAGCAAAGTCTTAAAAATCTTTACCCTGTTTCTGCTCTCACTTGAAATCACCTCTTTTGTTTGGAAATTTTCACTTTTCCCCTGTATGACTGAAATAATGAGAGGTGTCTTCAGTTCTGAATCTTGAACATTGACTTTGGCTCCATATTCTAACAGTAATTCAACCATCTCATATGCTCCTTTTTCAACAGCAATGTGAAGCGGTGTTTTCCTCTTCCAATTGAAGCAATTAACTTCAGCTCCTGATTTCAGGAGTAGATCAGAGATTTTCAAAAAGTTTTTTTGTGCCGCAAGAAATAAAGGTTTATTTTTCTTGTCATCTCCAATTTCAGTTGCAGCACCGTGTTTTAAGAGAAATTGCACAGTCTCGTAACATCCTTTTTTCACAGCTTTAAGAAGTGGTGTTAGTCTCCAGTTGTCTTTCGGGTTTATAGCCGCTCCATTCTGTAGTAGCATTTCAGCAATATTCAAATGACCTTTCCTTAATGCAATGGACAAAGGAGTCTCACCATGCACTGTTCTTACTCCAGGTGCACTCCCACATTTCAACAAATATTCCACAATTTCCATGTGTCCACTTTTTGAAGCTTTGAAAAGGGGGGTTTTTCTCTTATTGTCTGCAGAATCTAACTGTTCTTTCAAGAAAACAGTCTCCTGGCATAGCTGATTCCCATGCTTCACTAGAATTTCAACAATCTCAAAATGACCATTTTCACTTGCATAGAAAATAGCTGACCTTCGCTTCACATCTTTTTTTTTGATCAAGGCGCCATATCGCAGTAATATTTTGACAATATCAACATGACCCCCCTCTGCAGCTATGTGTAGAGCTGTTTGTCCTTGAATGTAAGGATATCTGGAAGGGTCCATCCTTCGAGCTATCTCCCCCCCTCCTTGAGCAGTATTAACATTTATTCCATGATTTAACATTTTTGTGATGTTATTCAAATTTCCTTTATCTGCACTAATGAAAAAGAGCTTGCTGTAGCTATCGCCAAGTTTGAATCCTTCCAGCCTTAGAATGGAATCCAGCAAATCATTTGCCTCTCCCTCTAAATTCTCCTTTATAGCAGTCGAAGTACAGGTTATAAATATTTCTTTAAGCTTATCGAAAGAACATGTAGAACTAGCTTGATACTTGTTGATCAGGAACATAGCCAGCTCAATCTTCCTTTGTTTGATGACATATGCAAGAGAGTCCGCAAGATACCAGTGATCATCGAGAAAATTTTCCTTTGCTATCAACTTAATAATATTATCTGGAGCATTTGATTTTACTATTTCGTACAAATTACCGCCTGGCTTCTCCTTCTTTCCGTATATCGCTCCATTTTTCAACAGTAATTCAACTACTGTCCACCGTTGTGTGGTAATTGCTAGACAAAGTGGTGTACCCCATCCCGACTCTCCATTGATGTTTGCATCTAGGCTTAGTAGCATTTTCACTATCTCGTGGTGACCTCCTTGAGCGGCTTCATGAAGGGCTGTAAATCCATTTTCATCTCCTGAATTAATGTCAACACCTTCCTCAAGCAGAAGTCTGACTGTATCTAAGCGACCGGCACGAGCAGAAATAGATAGTGGTGTCACTTTGTAGCTATTGTAAAAATGATTTCGTCGCTCGAAATCAAACGTAGACTGCTCTCCCATAGCTTTTGGCAGAAAGTCAAGGAAACTTTCATTCTGTTGATGAGGAGATGGAATCCTCCCTGTTCTTACTTTGTAAAAGGCTTGAGAGCTGTGAAAAACCTTTCTCTCAAGTATTCTTTTGTTTATTTCGCATCCTCTCTCACACAAGATTTTCACTAATTTCGCATCACAATTGGCAGCAGCAAAAATCATTATGAGATCATCACTTAAAGCGTCTGCTCCATTTATTAATAATATCTTACCTATCTCTGATTCTGAAAGCATAGTTGCATAGAGCAAAGGTATATTTCCATCTCTATCCTTCGCATTGGGATCAGCCCCAAACTTCAAGAGTAATTTGACCATATCTTTATGTCCTTTAATAACGGCAATATGCAAAGGATGGAAATCATTCCATTCATAACAGCTTTCATTTGGATTAGCCCCAAACTCAAGTATTTGTCGAACAACTCCCATGAAATTCCCACGAACTGCATATCTCAAAAAATCAGGATTGGTTTTATCTGTAGAATCCAATTTTAAACCATATTCTAATAATTTCTGGAGAATGGCAACATCATCCTCTGTCCCCATGGACTGAATTGCGAAATACAGTGCACGCTTGTTCCGTTCCTCATCTTTTGGGCAGTATTTCAAAATATTTAAAACAATTTGAGGACAACCGCTCTGAACAGCCAGCAATAAAGCTGTATGACCGTCCCATCTTCTAGCGTTGACATCAGCTCCATTTTCCAAAAGGAGACATACCATCTTCTCTTGCTGATTTTGAATTGCTGACAACAATGGTCTACATGCCTCCACTAGACATTCAGGATTCATTCTAAAATAGTGCAAATATGTATTTTCTATTCGATATGAGTTCAAAAGTTGGAGCTCCTTATCTTTCCTCTTTTTTATTTCATCTCTTGTCATGGTAAGAGAAGTTGGTGCTAGATTAACATCAGCACCCTCTTGAATCAGTAAGTTAGCAATGTCAAGGAAGCCTCGAGCTGCTGCTATGTTCAGTGCTGTTGAACCGTCATATCTTATTGCATTGATGTCTGCTCCATACCCTACCAGCACTTTCACGAGAGATATGTCACCCTTCTCCACTGCACGTTGCAAAAGGGTACTTCCCGCGCAACTTTCTGTATCCACCGGATATCGGGAGTTGACATTTGCACCATGTATTAAAAGACATTGGACACATTGCACATGTTGTCTCTGCACTGCAATGTGTATACTTGTGAAAGGACCTCTCAGCCTATTGTGAATATTCGCTTCTCCATTACCCATACTCATCAACAACTTCAAAGCGGCACCCTCTCCTCTTTCCACCGCTAGAGTGACTAAATTGCCACTAAGTCTTGAAAAATCATCACTTCTCTCAAAATTGAAAGGTCTCGTCCGTTTATTATGGAAAAAGGAAAAGTTAAAGTTCGCACCTGTTCCCTCATACCAGATGAATAACTTAGCTGCCTCAATCCAACCGCAAGAGAGTGCACTACAGATACCAAGTAGACGCATTTCAACAGATAAAGTGGAAAAATCAATGATCTCTTTTAGGGATTTCACTTCTCGCGTACCTGTCGCTCCAGCAAGTATGCACTGTTGCAATGTATTTTCATCATTGAAGTTTTGGCTAACCTCATTTGATTTGTTATCTCTGGATCCATAAATGTCTCCTTGAGATGTATTGGTTGCATCGCTGTCCGAAATCCAAGGACTGTGATAGTCAGGATCATAGTAGTTCTCGTGAGGATCCCAATCAAAATAATCGTCACAGTCACTCATTTTATCTGATAGTGTGAGAAGTGACAGTTTAAAATCACTGAACCATCAACAATGTGTTAAATGACAAATTCACCACTTATTTACGCTTATTCTCTCCTGTTTCATTAAAGATCAAAAGTGAATGAAAAGAAAAACATCAGGTAGTGGAACTGCAATCACTTTTGAACACCACTATGTAGCACTTGATCATTGACTCGCATATCAATTTGTAAAAGTTTCTTTTGTGTCCATAACCATGGTAACTGATGAATCTGGAACAAGAAAATAAAATTCTTTAGTGTTTGTCTCTTGCATCAACGTGCACTGAGGTTAACATGATTTTATCAAGAAAAATACCACTCCAAGAATAGCTTAATTGATTAATGGAAGTACCCACCTTAAAAGTTTCCACATGCATCAGGTTGCCATGCCACTCTTATGAAGTTCTGATCCTCTCTATCCTGCTACTTTCACCAGTTCAGCATCTCTCTCCAGGTTCATTGTTCATTCCTTGGAGGCAGATCCGTATTTTCGCTAACTCAGCGCATTTTTGAGCCACAAGCTTCTCGACGCTGCAAGTTCAGCGCGGCGCGCGGCGGAGTTCGGCGGCTCGTGGAAGTTCAGCCCCCCCCCCCCGGGCCCTCCTTCCTTTTTCCCGCTAATTTCGTTGCCGCGTTTTTCGATTTATTATATCAGCTTTACGTTCGAATTTATCATCCCCGAAACGTAACGTCATACTGCGACTGCCCGAAAAACGCCGTATGAACCTTTGAGCGTTGCCAAATTTCCTTTTATAAAATACGATTTTCCTGTTTAACCTGTTCACTGGCTGACATTCATTTTGGGTACTTGAAAATCAAGAGAAATTAAAGGAATTGTGAAAATTAGTCTTATTATTCAACCTCACTTGTCTCCAGTGGCGTGACCGTTATCATGAGCAGCGCTTTCATTTAAACAAGTTGGGAATTGACCACGATTACATTTAAATTGTTATTTTTTCGTTTTCCCGGATTAGCTGAAATGCCCTCTGTTTATGTTTGTACCCTAAAGCGCCGGGTAGTCTCCTCTCGAATTTAAAGGTCCCTGTTGTTAGTTTATGTCTCCATGATGAATTTCTCCTTTGGCTAAAGTCAGTCGAAAATTTTTTTGCGCCCTTGAGAATTTGTTGAAAAGCAATGACCAAAGCCAGTAAATGTACTCTGAAAACAAAGGAATATATAAAGCGGGGGAAGGGGGGGGGTTCGCCCTTGGAACTCCCCCCCTAAAAATATTTGTCTTAAAATTGGAAATATCTATGAAATTTCAGCTAATGTCAAAAATTATATTTTTTTAAATTTCCAAAATCTCAACCCCCCCCCCTCTTACGTTTCACTTGGTCATACAATTTCATTGCATGGCTGCTTTTGTCCATTATAATGGACATTTCATATATTGGGTTCTACTGGTCCGTTTTTAATCAGAGAGAACTTAAAATTTTTTAAAAAATTAGCTTAGTTAGAATCAGCACTTGGAAAATTTTTTAGGCTCCCCAAAACAAGTTGGCAGTGAACGTGTTAACTCATGAATGTTTTCCCTCCAATTGCTCAGATAATTTCGTTTGCAACTTCACCTAAAGCTCCTAAAAATTTTAAGGAAAAATATTCATAACTTTCCTAAAAAGTAAACATTGTATCAAAGGAAATTTGACAACTCTCCAATGTTCATACGGCGTTTTTCCTTAGCACAGTAGCATAGCGGTGGGTGTGAGTCTCTATGTCGCGCAGCATTCTAAGGGGTGGAGAGCGGTGCGTTATTGAATGACCGTGACTGATTTTCATCGAGTTTTCGAAGTGTTATTTTGTCTGTTTCCTCCAGGTACTTGTATGTACTAATGCTTTAAAAAGGAAGGTTTGGGCGAAAAAATTTTATCCCGTTGCTAGTAAACTAACTGCAATGGTCTTGTTTTACCCCAGGATCCTCGATCAGTTCAGTGAATTCATCATGATTTTTTCATGTTTCTCATCATTGGTGAAGGAGGGGGCTGGCTTGACATTCATGATTCACGAAATATTGTCTTAATGGTACTTATCATACCTCCTCTTTTTGCGAGGATAACAATTTTTCATTGCCTAAATTACTAGCTCAGATTCCGCAAAATTGATTTTTTTTCTAAACTTTAGAATAAATACTTAAAAATAACTTTCGATTCTCACCCTGATAGGACCGGTTCAGCCAGGGTCTTATTGACGATGAGAGGGTCCAGGTTCAGCCAATCACATGGGTCTGGATCAAGTCCAAGGTCGAGGTCTAGAACCAGTCCGAACCCTTGGTTGCAACTCATAATTTCAGCTTTTCTCCTAGCCTAACCTGAAAATCTAAAAATCCTGATATACCATCCTGTGTTGCCTTAAAGGCACGGAATTTTCGTTTAACCCGGCAGGGAAAACATGGAAAAATTAGAACATATTCCAATTCTAAATTTCTGTGGCTACCTTAAATATAGAACTTATTAAAGAGTCCTTGGAAGTCTCTTAGGTTTTCGGTCAAGAACCATATCTTATGATTTTCTTTTATCATTTCAGCAATTTCAATATACATGGCATAAAGATGTCAGAACCAAAGGTAGAACAATGTGTTGGGATGTCTCCTCTTCAGAAGAACGAGCACCTGTCAAACTGTACCCTTGCCACGGAAGCAAAGGCAACCAATTTTGGCGTTACAATCCTGTAAGTACTCTTCTCATCTCTCTTCTCTGAATTCTTCCTCTCTCTTCAAATGCAATTGTTCAATTACCAAAAATTTTAATTTTCTTTTTCCAATTTTAGAGACATTGTACTCTTCTCTCACTCTGTAACGGGGAGATTTTCCTGGACCTCAGCACAGTTTTCTGGCAGAAGTTAATGTACATGTATTTTGGATTGCAACATTACGAATTTCTCAACTTACTTTATTTATTCAACAGAAAACTGATTTATTTTTTGCAGATTTACCTTTGCTGTGTGGAGAATTTTCATGAGATTTGAAAAAGGAACTCTACAAAAAAATAAAACAAAGCTGTATTAAATTTGAAAACATCTAAATTGAGACAAGCATGAATTTTCCCCCAAAAATTGGAATTGAAATCTATCATACTTTGTGTCCACAAGTTTTGTACTTTTCAGCCTCATTACGCATTTTTTAGGTTCCTAATCAACTTGGAAATAAATCTATTCTTGCTTTCAGGATAAAATGATACTCATTCACGGGACGTCAGGTCGTTGTTTGGATTGTGATCTAGGGCGAAAAACTATCTTTGTCACGCACTGCGATTCCACATCTGAGTCACAGAAGTGGATCTTCAAAAATTTCAATCGAACAGCTCTCCTTCAGATAATAGAAGAAGTTGACTGAGGCAGGTACGAATTTACGATAACTTTATCTACTTATTTTTATTTTTTTTTATTTATTTTTTTTTTTTATTTATTTATTTTTTTTTTTATTTTTTTTTGCTATTCAGGAACAAATTTCTCAACAGTCTTTGTAAATCCACAGTCTTTTGCACTGGTAAACTGTTTTTGGTCATGCGGTAAAGCCGTATAGACTCTAGGTCTTGCCGGGGCCTTCAAAAGTATCCATTTTTTTTTAGGCTAAGCCCTCTTTCCCGAAAATTTGGGTTTTAAGTCTACCCTATGATAATCTAGGGTACTGACGAAGCCTTTTAACCAAGCAAGGGGAATGAAAATTGAACCTTTTAGGAGAATGCAAAAACATTGAATTGTTACTTCAACTTTTAAGAACCCATACTGGTGCCTATCGGCTCAATCTTGCCAAATGGAATTCTTTATTATTAAAATCATGGTTAAGTTGACTATTTTGATTAATTACCACCTTTTTCTATATGCACTATAGGTAGCAAAAAAATATTTCTGATACTCCTGTTCGCAAGAAAAAAAAACTCTAAATTCATTATTATATTGTCAAAATTGTACAAGCAGGTACTTTTTCTTCAAAAAATCATGTTCACACATTCTCGCAAATCATTTTTAGAAATTCTGGATATTGTTAATGATCATACGCATATAATTTACAATGTGTAAATAAATAATGTCAATGTCAATTAAATTAATAGATGGAGTCTTGGTAAATAAATTGATCAAAAAAATTTATCTTTAAATTTGAACCAAATTTTGAAAAATAGAATTAAAAACAGGTGTTTTTGGTTTCAGGAGACTGAACTGGATTATCCCATGAATTTAAGCGCATATCATTGCTGCGTCTATTGATTTTGAACAGAAAGCCAGCATATTTAGAGTGCATATCTTTGGACTCCTCTAGTGCTGTGAGAGTGTATTCCTCAGCCGAAGAGGTTTCAGTGGCACGTCAGGTAACGCCATCGTCCAAGCATGAGGGTTGTTTTTTCCAAGTAGTCATTCCTAATTTTTTCTAACAACCAAGTTGGGAGTAAAACTCTCTAATTTTTTTCATTGTGATAATGAGACTTCTGATAATTCTGCGCTATGTAACTCACAGTTCTCAGCAGTATTTCTGAACTACGTTTGGATTTTGTTGGATTTCTGCTGCAGATATTTTTAGTCATTCCTTTAGTAACTAATTTCTTTTCATTCACTAGAACTCTCTGAATATTTTTTCCCTTTTATTAGATAACGGGAGGAAAGTTTTTACAATTCAATCCACATTTTTATTTAAATCATTAGGATTAAATCTTTGTACACTTGTTGATTTTCATATTAGGTACAAGGAAGTCAACAACAGAATATAACTTTTCTGACTTATTTCATACCTAATACTAATCGTGATCCCCTAGAGTCATACTATGTAAAATGTTTATGGGTCCTTAGATGACCAATTTCCATGAGATTATTTTATGTCTTGACTGAAAATGCACAAAACAGTAGTGATAATTATTATATGATAATATGTAAAAAAAAAGATGAATATCGACGGTGCAAGTCGGCAATCACATAACTCGTTTGCGGTGTCTGAAAATCTCCGCAACTATGTTATTTTTTCAAAGGAGAACAAATGGACATGATTCCTTGAAGTTTTTGCAGAATTTTCCTCGCACATAGAAGAAAAATCACGGAAGTTTTAAAGAATTACCGTTGAGTAGTTTTCCGTTCAAAAAATAAAGTATGACAGGAAGTCTGCGACGTCGCAAACCGAGTTATGTGATTGCAGACTTTAACCGTCGATATCTGTTAAATATTTAAGATATAATATTTCAGCAGCTGAAGTACAGATTTTCTTTCTGTTGAAATGGTACAGTTACTTGAAGTGCCATGCTTCAGTGTGGAGTTTTGAGATGGTGAGCGTTTGTAAACCTTACAAGCCAAATTTTCCTGGAATTGTATAGACATAACTACTAACTATAGTCCAAGGAAGAGTAGAAAATTACATAGGGGGTATTGCTGAAGGGAGGAAACGCAGTCGTTGGCTCACTAACCTGAGCCCTGGTTTGCAAGAGCCAATCAATCTTAACATTATAAACAACAATCTTAAAGCGTGCCCGCTTACTTAACTTCACCTCTCACATTCCCCTTTTTTTCTGGCGTTGACTATCAACAGATTTTTTTGTAATTGAACAAAAATTAAAAAATTATCTGGTTATTATTATTCATAACCATAAACCAAGGAAGTCACTTCCTAACTGTTTTTACTTTATTATTTCTCTGAGACGAAAATTTTTATAGATTGACCTGTCTTGTCAGTAAGTTCAATCTTAATTGTCTTATAAAGTTTTGGTTCCAAACCGTCTTTCTCCAAAGAAGTAAAGAAAAACTGAATACACAAATCTGTAAAAAATTTATATTTGGTTTTTAAATTTTGTATCACTGAATTTTTGTTTTAAATCAAGTCTTTATAATGAGTCAATTGCACTGTTCATAACATCGTGTTTTGGTGGTTTAAGCCCATAGAATAGCATAAAATAATATGATCCATCCAAATGCATAGATTCTTTCTCCAACATCAATTATTGATAATATATCTTGAAAAACACGGTGTATAACACTATCCATTGCGATAGTGCCTACCGTAATTTCTTCCACCCCGGATTCTCCAACCAATTAGAGTTACTCACTTTTCCTTTAATTGCTTGACTCAAAACATAGTCAAATGCAAGGTGGAAGAAACCATGGTATGCAACACTTGACTCTTAGCTTGGACATCATATGTTGCGTCTTTAAAGGGTGATATCTCCATTAAAATTGGATGTAAAAACTCGGGGTTTGGACAGATCTTATTATTTTTTGCTGATCAATCTTCCAAAATCATTAAAACGCAATTCTGTGCCCAGCGCAACTAGCCTCTTCTGTTATTTCTTTGTTCATCATATTTTTAAAGTGTTCAAAACTCTCAAGAAACGCCCTCAAATCTCCTAAAAAGTTTATAGTTTTTGAAGTAGAAAAAAATGATTGCTTCCAAGTGCACTCATTAGGAATACTGAGCAGAAAAAATTAATCACTGGTTTTTTATCAGAAATTTCTATCTAAGATCTTCATCTTTTGCTTTGAATATTTTTTTTTTTACTATTTACTTAATTTTATAGTGTGTATGTTTTAAGATTTTCTCATTTTTATTTTAGTTCTATTTTATATCACTCTGTTACTATTTGGCCAGTTTTTGTTGAAATTTTATTTCTAGTCATACTTGCTTCCATAAATTACTCATTTTACTATCATTGTCTACTTAACAAATTGAAACGGGCGGATCTCAATAAGAAAAAGTGATCTTGCTACATAAAGCTACTTGAAGAACATCGTATCCCTTTGTTCAGTGCGTTTTGAAATATATCGACGACGAAACTCCCAAACCACGTACCACGGTTTGCAAAGCTGCAGATTTTCCGTCATACTTTATTTTTTAAATGGTAAATTACTCACTGTCTATCATTGAAAACTTCCGTGGTTTTTCCTTTCTGTGTTTAAAAAATACTGTGAAAACCTCAAGGAGTGATGTTGATTTTTTCCCTTTAAAAAATGAAATGGGATCAGCGGCAATTTTAAAACACTGCAACCAAAGTACATAGTTTTGAGAATTTCACTTTTGCAATAGTTATTTTCAATCCGTCAATTTAAGTAGATTATTTCTGCTTCTGACAATCAATCATGATATTTTGATTAATTTCTGTCCACTTTGTCTCTCTCATCAGAGGATATTGCTGACTACCACTTCAGCGCAAAATACTATGACTAGGCTAAATTTTGCAATTAGAAACTACAATTTTTAGCTCTTTTGTAAAAACACGTAAGTGTGTAGGAAAACTAATTGCATGCACGTTGTTTCTAAATTGAGCCAGAAATCGTTGTTCCCCATTGCAAAATGTAGTCCAACTGTACATCTGCTCCAATATGTTCTTGTCTCTCAATATTGAGCAATGTAATAGAAGATTTTTATATGTAGATAAACAGGAAATATATTGTCACCATAGCGATGAGAGATATTTTTCTCTCTCTCAAGTAATAAACAGGAGTGAATGAGAGGTTTGAAGGACAAGGCGCATGAGTGCAATTTTTGAAAAAATGGAGATATTAGTGATTTTAAGTAAAACTCGTCTTACTGTATTTTCTGCACCCAAATTCGAATTTTTAAGCCTCAAAAAGTCAGTTCAAACTTTCTCTCCGCCATAAGGATTTATGTAATTTCAAAACTTCAAACTCGTATTTCTCGAAATAGCAAAAACTGCACTTATGCGCCTTGTCCTCCAAGCCTCTCAAATGGTATTGAAGAGGTTTTAATTTGTTTTTTTAGTACCTACTCTTCAGTGACGATCTTTGGAAGAACTATCCAAAATTTCCTTTGGGTCAATTATTAGTGATTGCATTGAAGATTTACCAGATGTAGTTTGCGATCATGAATGCCAAGAGATTTGAACAAGTGATGGCATTGCAGAAATTCAATTTTTGACATTCCACAGATAAAGGGACTTAGTGCTTAAAAACTAAAAAGTTACATATGGGTTACCTCTGCTAAGAGCAATACTTCATACGCATTTTTACTCCAGAAACACTCTTTAATGTCAAACTAAACAGAAGTTATGACGATTTGAACTTTGCACTTTAGGGAACATATTTGTTGTTTGAAGTTCTCAGATTAAAATGCAACTCAATGCTCTTTTCTGATCTAATAATGAGCTTAACCACTGGTATAGCATTTTTTTTAAACACTAGAGGGCTTCAACCATCAAAAACTCCAATGCTAATTTTTTAGTCCAACTGGACAAAAATCACATCCCTGAAATATTTCCCCTTATCCACAGAGTTCTCTTTTACTGTGGACTGTCAAATTGTCACATACTTGCCCAGTCTCGTCAAAGGTAATCGGCTTCAAAAACTGAAATTTAATATTTTATGTCTGCAAAGTTTAGGGAAGTTTTTCCAGATCAAGTCGCATTCATGTGAAGTTCTGTAATAATTCTAAAACTTCCTTATCATTTGCCTTCGGTATTACTTTTTTATGTATATGTAGTCTTTCCTATCACAGGCTTCTTCCTTTATTGCTTGAAATATCAAGCGTCCTAATGGAGGACAATGTTGGAAGGAGGTTGCATGTAAAAGATTTGGAGTTTCGAGAAAGAAAGATTTGAAAGTTTAAAATGGAGTCCCAACAAACGATGTGGACCAGTTGGTCGAACCGAAAGGTATTCTTTTAACCTAGATTCTGAAGTTTTGAAATTCATTAATACTTTGGGAAGAAAACTAAAGAAAAAAAATTAAGAAGAGTGTATTTCGAGATCATTCCTTCTTTTGACATGGTCCTCAATCGGATTTTTGCTCTAACATTCCTCTCATCTGGTGAGCATCTCAGCATCATGTAGATTAAGTGAAACTTAGTGTTAAGCTGTCCATTTGAAGACTGAAAAACTTAGCAGCTCAAATTTTGTTTATTTTTAGCAGAGTAAATATTTACTACTTATCAGATGAACTGAGCTCAGAGAGTTTTGTGTTTGTGTGCAACACGTAAAGTAACTTTTTAAAAAAAGGTAACCTGTCTATCCACTTTGGGCCTGAATTAAATTGAGACATTTTTGAAAGGCGCTCAAGCTTTGCTAGTGGATTGACATCTTGATCATAAAGGTAGCCATGGCTAATTGAGTGGCTATCCTCAATACACATTACAGAAAATCGACCGTGAGACTCCCAAACCACATATCTTCGTTTACAACGTTGTATATTTTATTCTTTAAATGTAAAACTGATCAAAATCAACTCTTGAAACCTTCAGTGATTTTTCTTCTCTGTTTGAAGAATATTCTGTAAGGATTTCAAGAAACGACGTTGAGTCGTTCTCTTTTAAAGAAGTAAAAAAGGAGCAGAGATTTTGAAACACCACAGATATGTGGTGAGGGAGTTTTACCATAGATATGGCTCTGTCCATTCTCTTTCTTGAAGTTACCTCATAGAGTATTGTAATTCTTGACAAAAAATTCGCTCAAAATTGTTTAAAACTTTTAAGGCTTAACTTTTCATGACCAGAGGCTCAAGTTCCAAAGGATCACTTGACTGGGTGAAAAATCAATAACCTCAGCTGGACTTCATCTTGTAATTAGGAAGTACAATTTCTAACTCATTTGTAAAACTCTTTAACTGCGTATAGACACTAATGACACATACGTTGTTTCTAAAGTGAGCTGGAAATAGTATTTCCCAATTGCAAAATGTAATCTAACCCAAGTTTCTTCCTGTCAAATCAGCCACTAATCTGAATTCAGTATGTTTTATTGTAAAAGAATGTTTCCCGTGTGCTGACCACCAACTGAAAAATTTTGTGTATTAAAGTTAGGAGAAAATTTTGTCTAACCATACTCTGAGTACACCGAGTGGATAAGACTTAAAAATGGCCAATTGAGCCTTTGGTTGTTTTTTTTTTGCAGACAGGAATTTTTAATCGAATAAATATTCCATTCAAGTTTTGGATGAGTTCAAAATTTTTGTATCAATTTTTTTGTCTTGCAATTGGAAACTTGTCAAGGGGCTGCTTAATTTTTACCCTGGCTGGTGGTCCAACGTTAAAGTTGCATTTTCACATTTTTTCCCGAGGTATTTTCCAATGACGATTTGCAAAGATTTCCTTGGTGAATAAATCTTGAAGAAAAAAACCCATTAAAACGGTGACAACATAATCCTACCTAAACTGCCGCCTTTAATTTTTTAACCACTCATTTATTTTGTGTTTATTCGATCAATGATAACTTAATTTTTTTTTTTATCAGTCGACAAGAACGTTAAGAAGAAAAAAAATTCCTACCGGAGACCACGTTCTTTATTTGTATTTTTTTTTTAGCCTGAATGTAATTAAATGTGTATTTTTAATCAATTACTGAAAGGGCTGCCACGTCTGGAATGTTTCAGACCTTCATCTGACAATATTTATATTTTATTGACTACTTCCTCTTCATCTGGAATTCATTACTGTTGCGTAGGTTTTTACTACTCTAACATGAATAAATTTTATTTTCCGTCAAATAGCAAATCTTGTAAATTCTTCCTTAGAGTCTAATTATATTGTGATCACCATGAATTCGGTCTATCTTTTTCTGGTTAAAACATGCCAGTGTTGACACCCTCTAATCAGTAAAAGGAATCTATGGACTACACAGTGTGATCCAGGGTTAAACGGCCAGACTGCAGGAGCCGAAGTACCTCCAAATCCCCTCTTTAAATTGATATTTCGAATTTTTCAAAGATAATTTATGAACTCGGGGCATAAAAGTGCAGGGGATTTCAAATTTTCATAAGATGTGCACAATTGTTGCCAAAATTAAGGAAAAACGATTTACTTATAAAATTTTTTTTTTGGGGGGGGGGGGACTGGGGGCACTTTTGGAAAAAACTTCTCACAACAAAAAAGTCTTATTTTGATCCATGGAACACGCTCCTACAGTCTGGCCGTTTAACCCTGGATCACCCTTAATAATCTTAAAAGCAGGTCTTTCCCAGTATTTTTGAGAATTCATCTTTAAATTTAAAAGAAGTGCATTTTCCTTTCGATGGCTACAGTTAATTGATAACAAGTCATATGAAACTTTTAATCTACATAAGGGAGACAGCCATACTCCTCTGAACTCATGTAACATTTGCACCCCCCCCCCCCTTCCTTCCCCTATAGGCCCATGAAGTTGGAGGGACCGTAGGGTAACTTTGAATTCTCAAAATTCTGGTGCTGGTCGATTTTTCATCACAACGAAAATTGGATGTTTATTATAACCAGAAAATTGACGGTAAACCGTTGGTCGTGGAGCAAAATGATCGAAATTTCCAAGCCCTTCTGTAGTCCAGAGATTATTTTCTTGCTCCTCACAGGCCCATGGGGTCGGAGGCCCCCTAGGATCACTTTGAATTATCAAAATTTTGGTGCTGGTCCATATTTCATGATGGTGAAAATTGAATCAGTCAGAACGAAAACACACCGACTCGGTAACTCGAAAATCATCCATCTTCATTAAAGACTGACAATTTTCATAAAGGTCATTGAAGTTAGTGCATCTGTTCCAACTTGGACCTTTAAAGTGCCTTAAGTACTTGTCTTTCGGCACTGAAAATCTTTCTCCATGACTAACTTCTTCCCTTTCTGTTCAGTTTTGCGTGTGTCTTGATTATTTTCATTTTTTCAAGTTGGTGTGTTTTCGTTCTCACTGATTCAATTAATCTTGACACTACTCTCTGGTGTCTAGACCGGGAAATCCGAAAATCATCAGGGAATAAATAATCTTAGGGAAAATCGGGGGAGATCATGGTCAAGAATTCTGGACACCATGGACTGATTAATTGGAACTTTATTGAAGAAAAAACAAAGGAAAAATAATTCTACAAAAGAAAAATGAAAGAGTTGAAAATAAGTTAAGAACACTAGAATTAATAGGAATACACCGTTAATGAAGGTAACGTGGAAATTGAACTAACATTTGAGATTGGGAATCTATATACTACATGAGTAGAAAATGAATGCCTTTGGTTCAGTTATATTGACAATTTAAAAACTCATGAATTTAATTTCTTCTTTTCATCTTTCAGGGAGTCAATAAGAAACACTTTTGTCCAGGGTGCTATTTACTATAGACAAAATCAAATTGCAGTCTGAAATTTTTGTGGTAGGTTTGCCGCTGACTGCGAGTTGAGGCAAGGTCATTGACATTGTTATCGATTACTGATTAATGGTTTGCACCGTACAGGAACCAAAGATGGCTCGAACCTATAGTATACAAAGCTCAACTTGCATACAATTTAAGTTTAAGTTTTTTTTTTTTTTCTCTCAACTCAGTAGTCAGATTTTACAGCTTGAGTTGACTGTAGCCAACAATATTTGGGCCCCGAGCAATTAGCAAAGCATACAACTCACAGTCTCTGCAAATCAATAGGGACATTGCAAAATATGTAGCATTCCTGCTACCTTTCAAAATGTTTACTCTCACATCATTATTTTAAAGAAGATCACATTTCTTGTAATGAATTGAAATTTTCACAAAATATTCTGAACAAGACATAAAACCGGTAAACATTCCAAGAAATAATGCTTGTTACCTTTTCTTTAATAAAACAAAAGTGACGAGAAATCTTGAACAACGTATATTGAAAGAAGTTTTTTCAGACTGCCACCATTAAAATTTGGCTGTTCGTATTCTTGTCTTCATAATTAGTTTGCTGAAAATACTGAGAAAAATCTTTTCCTGACAATAATCCTTACAGGTCCCTTGAGAAGGAAAAGTATTAATTAAAAAAAAGGGGGAAAACTCCAGATAATTAGAAATACTGATTGTGAGAAAAATAATACTATGATGACTAACAAAGTAATAGAAAAATAAATTACCTAGAAAGTAAAAAAAAGGGCGATCTACATAAAAATTCTCATACAGTTCTTCAAACTTTTCGTCTATTTTTCTAAATGATTGATACCTTTAAATGGACATCAGTGAGCAGGCACGTGGATTGGTTTTTGAAAGAGCCAATGATTATACGTACGTTTATACCTGCTTTCCAAAAGCGTGCTCACAGGCAGACCGTGTCTGCTTACTAATGTCTGACTGACATGAGCAGAACCAACGTTTCAGTTTCCCTACTGAATGCGCCAAACACTTCCAGTAATGCCCAACATTAACTTAAAAAAATCACATCAAGAGAAATACAACTCATTAAAAGGACATGCATTGTTATCTTATAAAATACTCAAGTAGATCGAATGATTACAAGCTTTGTTTTGAACACTTAAACGTATGGTTGGTCAATGGTAAGAAATTGATGGATATGTAAAAGTTAGATGAGAGATGAGGTTCCTGAAGAAAAAAGTACTACTTGTGGTAGGAACAAATGCATATCATAGCTGTGTAATTTAATTCAGAATCTTTTGGCTTCAGCCAACAGCAAAGAATGATATTCTTGTGGGTGATAATTACACATACTGATAGGAGTTTCTCACCAAAAAAATTTTCAGATTAGTTGATTACAATTAACATCTAATTTTCTTCTTCAAGCTGTAAGAGGAAAAATAATACATCCTTTTTTTCCATTTCAGCGAGACCCATAATTATTTATTTTACCACATCTTTCATTCTGCATTTAGAACAGGCAAACACTCTCTGGAAAGAACGCCTGAGCCATGAACAGATTCTGCACAAGTTGATGCAACTCCTATTAGAGTCCACGCCATAAAAGCCTACACACTTTTTGAGTGCAACAGAAGATCATTCGCTTTCAGTTTGGCATTGAAAGTAAATGTTAAAATCACATTGGCAGATACTCTGTAATACTCTTAAAGTGCGTAACCTTATTTGACTCTGTTGCGTAACCTTGTTTGACTCTGCTCACTGGAGAGTAAAAAAACATAAGAAACACTTTAAAAAACATAAAAAAGAGAAAGGGATGTTTACAGTCCCTTATAAAATAATTGTGATGGTTTTATACTCAAAAGTATATTGGATTAATAAAAGAAGTTTTAACCGAACAAGGACAACTCTGCCGTGCTAAAGAAGAAAGCTGTATGAAAAATACGCAAAATTGTTCTTAAGAATACTTGTTTTATCCTGGGCAATTTGGCAACTCTCGAATGTTCATACAACGTGCTTCCTTAGCACAGCAGAATTAGTGATATTTCTGTGATGTTCTGTTTCTGTGGTCTGAAGTTTCGGGGCTCATGCAGAAATTATATGTATAAAGAGCAGAGCTGAAAACTGAGTTACATAAAAGTGGTCGATTTTCTTAAAAAAGTTGACCAAGAGACAAAGTCTGTACCTCATCACCAATATTTCAATTCATTAAAAAATATCAAGTGCTTCTTTTATTCATTACAGGTCTAGAATTTAAATGGGTACATCAAATAAGTGAGGGCAAGCAAAAGTTCTTGAGGGAAGATAATATTTTTCAATAAATTTTTCAACTCAAACCAGAAAGACTCTTAAAACACCGAGTTGTGCTTGTTACCTATGAATTATAATCAGTAAAAATATGTTGGGTATTTCTTGCACAAGAATGAAAAAGAAAAAAAAGGGCAACCTTGAGGGCTACATGTTAAAAAAAAGTACTCAAGCAACAGTGATATGCTGTCAAGACTTGACTGTTGTACCATGAAAAATGCTGTGCAGTTTTTTCTTCCAAAGTCTTTTGATTTAAGATGAAGGAAAAAAATTCTGTTTAAAAATATGTTTCGCTTGAATGATGAGATTTCATGATCTTGTTTACATCCAAAATTTTTGAAGGCATCCTTCAGTAAAACGAAAATGTAAAATTTCTACATGATCATGATGTCAGAATAAAAAGAGCAGCATCTTTCCTTATGACAACTTTTAACGAAAAACTTAGCTTCATATGGGTTTGAAGTTGATTGAATTGCATAGAATGAAAATACGCCATCTTGTCTTTCATAGAAACATCCTTTTTGACTGATCTTTTTTGATACTTATCATTTGCTGTTTCTAATTTCAACAGAAAAGAAAGAATTACTTGTCTACAGGAGGCAGACCTTGGAATAGTCAAACTTGATGGGAGAGAATAGATAAAAGAGTTGGAAAAAAAGGCGTATTTTCAAACTGAACAATTCAGTTGTATGATAAACACTCAATTTTAAATAAGATTCATCAAATAAAGCGGCTGTAAATAACACTATCAAAAATAAAAACTGAAGCAAAAATCAATGATTGTATAAAACTTACAAAAACATGTATGATTAAATAAAAAAAGGAAAAAATTACAAATTACAGTACATACAAACAAACAAACATAACAAACAATAAAAAGTCAAAATATTTTAAAGTAAAAACTTCATTATACAAACAGAACAACAAAAGCACTTCGAGCAATTGAGTGAAATCCACAGAATATGCGAGTAAAGTATTTAAAAAAAGCTGATCAGCATACAAAGTTTAACAAAAGCACATACAGTTCGATTTCATTTCAAATTAAGTTCCATTACATATATTGACGGCCACTGTCATAAATTTTGAAGATAATCTAGTGGCACCTCATATGCAAGAGTCATTTTCACAGTCGAGATATTGAAATGAAAAATCTATCAAACCATTTCTTGGCGTCGTGATGATCAAAATGATTCTTGACCTGATGGCTTAAACAAATACTTAAAAATACCCGCTTGGTAAATTATTCCTCTGACGAATTAAGTTGTGGTGCGTGCATGGAGTCATATTGACCCCTGAAATGATCATCCTATTGTTACGTCATCTTAAGCAATTTCGAACGGACAGGAGTTCGGCAACAGATTAGAATAAAATAGGCATTTTGGGATTTCCATAGGTACACTTGAGTATTGGGGTTCGAGTGAGTAGGATCCCTACGAATGTGACAGTTGACATAAAAAGGGACCTCAATGTCATGAAATCGTGGCGGATACACAAAGGTAGTCGCAAGGCAGCGCATGTACCCTCTGTGCATCATCGTCTCATCATTGTATCAAAATGCGGTTGAGATCTAATCTGCCTTATTCAAATACTCAAAATTTATTGTCAAAATTTAATATTACACTCTCAACTGGCACAAAACTTGACTAAACAATTTACAACCAATTTTTTGGGATACTTGAAGGCGTTTTCCGTTGAATGCTCAAGGACAGATTTTTTATTTTACCATAAAAAAAATCGTACTCTTGAAAAATTTGCCACAAAGAACTGAGGTCCCTTTCTAAGTGAGGTTAAAGATCAATAAAGTTATAAGAGAATAACTTAAATCAAAAGTTTTCAAATTTTTTTATGAATATAAAAAAAAACCTCTTGGAAACTACCAATTTACAAATAGAAAATTGAGAATAGGTCAACTTAAATAATAGAAAACAAGAAAACAATGATTTGTAATTCTTCACAAAAACATGACAAGAGACTGTCAAAACTTTCCTTTAAAATAAAGAAATGACTGTGACCAAGTTGTAATCAAATGAAAATAGAACAGTATGATCAGGCAAAGAGAGGTAGCGAAATTTCAGTCAGAAAAATCGTCTCATTCGCATATCCTACGGGTAAATGGACTACATTTTGCAATAAGGAACTCAAATTTTTGGCTCATTTTAGAAACAATGTATGGGCCATTAGTTTCTCTATGTAGATAGATGCTTTTATGGATGGGTCAGAAATCTTGGTTCCTTATTGCAAAATGATGTCCAACTGACCTTCAAAAATAAACTTTGTCCAAAAGAAATTTCCACGATTTAACAACAGACAGACTCAAGAGATATTAAGAGGGTATTCTAATCAGATGGAGGATCCATGGCACAGATAATCGCCTTAACAACAGCAGCCGCGGCCAATGCAGCGTAGGATTGCCACTCCGACTTTTTGGTGCCGTCTCTGTAGTCAGCTATACCCCTGACCAAAGCAAAACTGTCCCGACAGTTCCCTCGGACAGAGTCTATCACCGAGTCAAACTCAGAGTCGAAGGCCAAGGCAGCGCTCTGCAGGGCGAATAACTGGCGCAGTTGTTCGTGCCGTGATACAGCTCGCCCGGAGGCCACAGGGCCCAGATGAACTCGGGGAACTCCTTCCAAGCTGAAAAAAACAGAAGAAATTAGTACAGATCGAATTTACAGAGAGGAAGTGCGACTGACTTTTAGAAATTGTAATTCTTCAGAAATTGCTAATAAGCTTTCTGATCTAACAGGGTCTCACGTAAACTTTCATGATGATAAGATGCTCAAGCTTGGCTTGAAAAAAAAAATTGAAACCTCTGAAAACTACCAATTCAATTTAAAATGGGCGGGAAATTTCAAAAGAAGTTAATGGAAGAATGAAGCTTAACTGGAAAAAATTAAAGAGGCTGCATAGAAGTTTTGGAAAATTTTGGATAATCTTGTAGCCTTTTCAATTATCTTTAGCGCTTGAATGAGCCGGTACGTTGAAAATTTGCAGTCTTTGATCAAAGACAGAGTTTTTTCAATTTTAACAGTGCAAATTGAGTGGTAAAACTTGATTGGTGAAACACATAGAAAAGTAACTGTGCACTCAATGTTTGCCTTCAAAAAGTGAAAAGTTGAGTGCTCTTCGTTGAAGAAGTGCAAGACTTTGTAAATCTGCAAAATTTGACAAACTGCCTAGGTATATGTCAAACTGCTTGGGCATTTGACAAAATGCTTAATTTGACGGCTAGCCCTTGACATATAGTAATGAATTTGAAACGAGCAAAATATACGTTCATATAAGTCTGCATGTAATATATTTCCAATTTTATCTGCCTTCAAAAATTACAGGACAATATTAAAGCAAAAAAACATTTCTTATTTATTAAATCACCATTATTTTTAAAAGCCAGCAACAAAGGCACTATCATTCATGAACTATTGAACAAAATTATTCTGCCTCACTGTATACAGTGGCACTGATAAAAGCCACAATTTGCAGTTTCAACAAAAACAGGGATTAGGAAGCAGGGGAAAAATTGTCTTACTTATTATTAGAATCTGATGGTTGTGGATGAGCAACTTCGATGATATCCCTCTCTCCCACACACATGTACAGTTTATCTGACTCCGGAGGTGGCCGGGCAAAATCAGTCTCAGGATACTCCGCTGACAGTGCTTTTCGACCTTCGTCAAAGTATTTCAGCCATGGAATACTGATTCCATTCAATTCAACCTGCAGAAAATTGTTTTAAAATGTGACAATCATTGTATTATCTAAAGTTACTCTGTAAATTTAATGCAATTTGTTTAGTTATAATTTTAAATCATGTAGATGGATACAAGGAAATACTTGTAGTAGTTACGTTATACTTAAATAAAATTCTTTCCAAAAAAAAAAAAAAATAAAATTTTAAGGCTTTTAATATGATTTTGACTGTCTATAGAACAGCGATCAAAGAAAGTAAAAGACTGTGAAAGAAAATTTTTAAATGGAACAATTTTTATCAAGTTGGGTGACAATAATTTAGTTCTTGCTTATTCAACACAAAACGCTTCCTGGCATTCGAGTGAGTAAAATGCAAGTAGCTTACTTCATGTCGTCCTTCCTCTGACATAAGGGCGTATTACAATTTCAACATGAGCCCTGTTTTATCTATAACTCTATGCTTGCCAGGACTAAAGCGGATATAGAGATACGCTCTTACGCCAGAGAAGCGATGATTTTTGCGCCGGTAGAGTGCATAAAGGTCATAATAATCCAATAATTTCAACCCTGAGACACATTTAAATTTTAACCAGCCTTTTATCAAACTTACAGGTTTGGGACACAAAATTCAAACAAGCAAGACTCTGGTTTAGTTGGAAGCGTAATTTAAGTCAATTTAAGTGTAATTAAAAGTCACTGTAAACTCAACAAAGGGTTTCAATTTAATCCTTCTAAATTCAGTTCAATTAAAAAATAAGAAGTTTTTGACTTCCCATGAATCAGGATTTGAGGAAGAAAATATAGCATCGCTTACCTGCTGTTTCAATTTCGCAGCAACATTTTGGATTTCTAGATTGGGAGGACAAAATTCCTTGCATTCGAATTCAACATGCGAATTGTCATCCGTCCGAACATTATCACAATAAGTGTAGACATACCTAAAAAGAAAGGAGAAAAGTTACAGATCAAGCAGTTTTTAAAATAAATTAAAATTAGAGTTGTGGAATCAGAAAATGCGTTGAAATTCTGGCTACAATTTGCTTTGAGATAACAGGGAAGTGAAAAATATTTTACGATCAATGACAGAGAGAGGAAAGAATAGAAAGAATATAAAGGAAGTTAAATGGAGCGATGGAGTAAAGAAATAGGACATGCGTTAAACTAGGCAACGCTTAATGTAGTTGCAGGTTGATTTGTCCAAAAAAGAGCCTGAAACTGTTTGGACTAAAAAATTTTACACAAACTGCAAACTGATTTTCAGCTTTGAGTTGATTTTTAACGCACATGGGCTGAAAAAATTCCACCATACTAAAAAATTTTAACGATTTTTAGGTAATGTTCAGTTAGAAAACTGATAAAAATTGGGAAAGGGGTCTTGCTTGCATTACAAGTGAATGATAAGTGCCTCTGGCAAGTTAAAAAATGCATAGTAGAGTACTGCTGTGCTAAGGAAGAACGCCGTAGGAACTTTCGAAAGTTGCCAAATTTCCTCGAATAAAATGTTTAATTTTGAGGAAAGTTCAGCATATTTTACCTTGAAATTTTCAGATGTTTTAAATGAGTCTGTGAACAGAATTATTTGAAAAATTGGATAAAATTGTCCAGACTTTCCTAGTGAATTCGTGTTTTATTAGAGAAAATCTGGCAACGCCTAAAGGCTCATACGGCGTTCTCACGGCAGAGTAGAGCATTAGCTCCATAATTTAGAACTAAATTGACCTGTTTCTTGCGGAAAATTAACCAATATCCATTTGATTAGTCAATAGTTGATACTTTACCTTTTATCATCAGTTGGATGAGATACAACAACATCGCCCAATCTGACGTGTTTGTTATAGTCGGTATAATGAGGCACTCCTCCACCAAGACCCACTAAAAGGACATAGTCCACTTTTTGGAAAGTTCCTGAAACAGAATTTGGATAAGTTAGTTAGCAGAGATGTTTCGTAAGACACCTTTCTTTCAAAACCATTAAGTTACTATCTATGTTTGATCATGACCTATCTAATTTGTATTCCTGGTTTGAGATCCAAGAAGTTGACAACATATTTAAATGCAATAATTCCATGTTTTCACGTAGAATTATTCAAAATTTCATTCAGGTTTTTGAGCTCCTGTCACTCTAAAATGTTCATGTACCTATCTCTTAAACTGCCAAGGGCAAAGGACTCAACGTTTTTTGTCTCAAATAATGATTGTTCAGTAATTCCTAGGGCTTAAAGTACACTAAACCCAATGCTTTTCGATATTTTTCATGTGAGGCAATGTCGCAGCAAGTTCTATTTTAGCTTCTTTTTCTTACAAAAAGTCTTGTTTATTGTTTTTAATTTTAATGTTATGTTATGTTCATTCTGTATTTACTCATTTATTTCAAGTTTTCAATTGTGTACTCTGTTTCTCGGCAGTCTATTTTTCTCTTAGTGTTATTGAGCTTGGCATGAAAAAAATGGGAAATAAAATAAAATGTGATTAGTCATTGAATGAAATGATAGGGAGAGGGATTACTATTAGAAATGATGAACTTCGATTTAAAAGTAAAGGTCATTTCAGCTGTCAATTTTAGGAAAAATAACACGTAACAGCAAAAATGACATGGAGTTGCAAACATTTTTTCACAAAAAGGTTGCTCCTGTGATGGCCCATTTGAACAATCGCTACAAGGAATTGCTCCTTAAAACTATTACCACTGAACATAAAATAATGAAAATTTAAATGGAATGAAAATATCTGACTATTCCCAGGAAAATTGACATTGATTAAAAAAACTCAAAATAGAAGAAGTGATGACACAGCACAGAGTTATATTTTTTAGACAATTTGGCACAAAAAATACCAAAAAAATCAAACCAATGTCATCTGGCTTTCTTCCTCCAAAGGCAATACATGTTTTGCAGAATATATTTTTCAGCTTACACCACTCTTGAGTCTAAAATTTAGAAACCTGTGATGGTCATTTGAGGCTGAGTTCACATTCAATTTTAACTGAAGGCTCATCATGAATTGGAGGATTTTTGCTTATCTAAATCTCAGTCATCTTTCTTACCCAGAAGTCTTGTGGTTGTGTTTCCAGCAGCTGTCATGGCTTCTCTCGTGTGCCCAACGGATGGTAGCTTGGTACAAACAATCCTATGAGTTCCGATGTTACCCAAAGTGTAAACGTTTGATTCACCTGTAAACATGAATGAACAAATTGAGACTAAACATGCTTCATCTTTTCACTTTCTCTTCAAAAGCTGTCTTGTTGGAGTCAAATTTCACTCATTCTGAAAGTAGGAGGGACTGTAATGTCTAGTCTTGTTTTATTGTAAAATCGCTGACTTTTCTAGGCGTCATCAGCATTAAACAATTTTTTTGCGTTTTTTTTTTGAGAGGTATATTCCCCTGAAACAGTGAATCATTTAAATTTTTCGAGCAACGGTGAATAAATTGGGTTGATGGGGCTAGTTTAACTTTCATGTGAGAATAAAAAAATTTAAAAACAGACAGAGAATGACATTTTTTCTTTGCAAGTCTAGTCTTAGAGCCTAACCTTGGTGCATACAATAGATATATATATTGATCCATAATCAAGATTCAATTAGGCGCAATCTCCAAGTGAAAGTTTAGGAACTTCAATTTTAAGTGTATTTTTTTCCATATTGTTCTGGAGATTAAAACTCTTGAGGTATGCCAGAGTTCACCATGGTTATTCAGACTTTTTTCATTCGTCACACAAAATGGAATAGCAAATCTTCGGAGTAAATTCATCTTTTTTTCTTTCTTTTTTACCAATATTTAACAAAGAAAGAAGAAGTAAAAAAATAATGCGCCTTCTGGGCAAGATTCTTTGGACTATCAAAATTTCTCATTTGCAGAAACTATGCAGATATTTCAGGAGATTAAAGTCGCATTACTTAGTTTTGGATCGGAATTCAAGAAAGAATAAAGAGAAATTTTTTATAATCAACCCACATCAAATGAGATTTGAAAAAAAATCAGCATAATTAAGTATTGATACATACATATTAAACTGACACAACTTGACTAAATCAGGCATCAGTGCTGGGTTTGAGGGACTCCTATCTAATTGACAGCAATACATGTGCTTTGACAACCCTACCTCATTCCTTGGTTAATATTCTTGACTATAAATTTTTGTCGTTAATGGACAGAACTAGCATTCAGTCTATAGCCTCACCACAAAAAAAACTGTTCAAAGGACGATGTCAAAAGATTAGTTTGATTCATCTCGCCTGGCAGTAAGTGGTTAAAAAAGCATTGTCAAAACGTTACTGCTAAAATTAACGTTGCGGCAACATTTTCATGACATTACTTTTGGCAGTTGCCATGTGGGATTGTTTCAAAGTTTACTACTTTCTTTAAGCCCGGATTGTTCGACTGAGCAATACATCCACGTTTCAACCCTTAGAAAATGAAAAAAGATGCTCAACAGACTCTGCCCAATAAGAAACTGACAAATAATTAGGATCATCTTCCAAAATTTCTGGGTGAGAATCCATTTGGTAAAAAAGTGATATTACATTTCTTGCCTAGAAAGCAAAGAGAGAAAGAAATTGGTGCAAGATAAGTGGTCTAAGCAGCGTGATTTCAGTTAGTACTGTGCGAAGCGTATAATTTTCCCTTCAGATTCAGAATAAAAATAAAGCGTGGAGTTTTTTAAGATGATTTCTGCCGAACGTTTGTTTGATATGATTTTTTTCAAATGATATTCCAAAACTGAGAATCATCTTAGTCTTTCAATTAAAAAAGACAATAAGCAAGTTCATAACAATATTGTTCTCAAACAAGACAGAGGGAAAAATCAAGCAATGTGCAAGAAGTGTAGTTACAAAAACAATTTACCTCCCAAATCCAATCCAACACCAACCTTTAAAAAGCAGAGAGAAGGCAATGTTGTTGATACATTTAGTGTCATTGTTAAAATACCTCTACGGTGAATGAAATGTGAAGTGAGAAACGAAAATCATAAAACTACCTTGTTTGTTCTAAGTAAGAAAGATGGAATATAAAAATCAAATTACAGCGATTAATATTTTCCTGATGAAGGATGTTCCTTCTTTTAAGTCAAACTTTAACAGTCAATATGCTAACAGGGTCTTGCATAGGGGGGTGAAAACAACAGAGAAATTTTTTGGTCCAATCCATTATTTTATTTGATTCTAATAATGAAAATGATGTTTACTAAGCTCTGTTTTAATCGTAAAATAATGCTAAAATTTCTTTTTTGCATTTCCTACTGAGCTACAAGCCTCATTATGAATAGCTCTGGTAAAGTCGCAAGCGTACATTGACCACTAAAAATATCTGAGCAAATGGTGGTGATGAAGCAGATCCGACGTCCACGGAACAATCACAACGAGAATGAATGTCAAAACGGAGGTGTCGATTTTCCTCCCAAATCTTACCAAAACGTGTAACAGTAGATTTAACGAGAGATGATTTACTTGAGAGACTGTTCGCTGAAAGGCTTGGCGTTACGCCTAAAAAGACATGGAACCAAAATTAACACCCCCACGAACACACAGGAAAAAATTTGTGATAAAAATGGATGACAGAATATACTGTCAACAGAAACTTGATAAAACTTACACATAAAACTTCAAGGAATTAGAAATTTGAGACGGAGAAATAAAATTTATAAAGATACAAACTCATGACTTTTAATTTCCCTTCAAAATTTAATTTTTTATTTTGATCCTCCTTCACATCATGATTTTTGCACACTACTGCCTTCAGACTGATTTTTTTCAAAAGAGTAGCTTTAGACTTGAAGGAGAAGGACCAATTAAAATTGAGTGATTAAAATCTGCAAATGTGAAAGAGTTTAAGTGAATTAGAGTTTTCCAAAATGCATGAGAAAGCTGCAAAACGGTGATAAAACTTCAACACAATGCACCTTTTGCAAAAAAACATGACTGCTCGTCTTTTTGCATTTTTGAAAGTGAAAATAGACGTATCAGATGCAAACTTATCTGAAAACAATGTGGGTGAATGATAAAATTCACTCTGATAAAGAAAAAGAATAATAGAAAAAAAGAAGAGAAAATAATCAATAGAAAGTACAATAAAAAAGTCAAAAGTTTGTTGCATTTGCATGAAAGAGAAAACACTTTTATTGATTTTATCAAACTGAAAATTTTGAGAAGTTAACAATTATATACAACCTTGACTCATTTGAGATATAGAGAAACAAGAAAACGGTGAAAAAGAATAAAAAGCACCCATTAAGTCTGAGTACGTGCAATTCAATTTTTTGAGAAATTATTGAAAGAATATCATTGCAGTTAAATAATTTCATCCAATGCAAAAAGCTTCATCTTGTAGAAAAATTATGGTACAAGAGGGCGAGGGGCGAATAGGGGGTTAATATAAGGGGGCGAGAGGTTTATAAGTTTGCAGAAATCACCTAATTTTGATTTCTTTTCCATTTACAGGAGAGGGTGAAAGAGAATTTGAAGTGAAAGAAACCCCAAGAAAAAAATCAAGACACGAAAATCAAGTTGGAATCGATGCAAAAAGGGAGAGAGCCTTCAGGCTTAAAATCATTTTCAAACCTATCATACAATTTGCCACTTACCAACAGTTGTGTAGCGAACAAAAGTTTCTTTGTTTTCAATGAGAGCATCGACCGCAACCTTTTCACAGTACTGAGCGGTGATGATCGCAATTGTTGGTTGCTTCTTTGAGGCTATGGACGGCATTTGCTTTACAATCTAATAAGAAGAAGAAAATTTAGTACTTGTAGGATCACTCACATTAGGAAAAAAGAAAAATTAAAGTTGAAGGGATTTTTCTCTCTTTTGATTCTGTGGAGCTCAGCCAAGAAGTTATTAAAGCTGAGTGGAAATTTTAAGACGCTTCTTGAAACTTTCTTAACATAAAATACTAACATTCAGAGTAGTTTTGAGGTATACCTTACACCTTTTCCTTAGAGTAAAAAAAAGGTTTTAGAGTCCGAGCAGCAGAAGTTGCAATAAATTACAATTGAGATGCACCTATTTTACAAAGCATGATTCATCATCTCGTTTTTTTTTTAAATTTGAATCACCTCCTTTATCAACAAATCTGATGAAATTTTAGTAGATTTTAAGGTTTAATGTTTAATAAGGGTTCCAGTAAATTCTCACCTGAATTTGTTTTTCATCTTGCACCATTCTGGTGAACGAGTCATGCTCCATTGCTTTGACGAAGCCTTTCGTCTGGAGCGTGCTCAAATATTCAGCCACTGATTCTTCCAACCAGCCATGAGACCTAAAAAAAAAAATTCACACTCAATATCACTGAAGTTTCAAAGTATGTATTTATTTTTCTTTTCACTAAATTTTGAATTTTGAATACATAAAACAAGTGCATGATATTTGAGCTGCTTTGCGTAAGAAATGGATGATAAAAATTCACCTTTTGAAAAAATTTAGAAATGAACTGGGACACAAACAAAAGGTTTAAAGCCTGAGTAGAATACAACAATATATGTACTAAGCCTATTTCGTTGATTAATTTTAGTTTGCCAAAAAACAAGAAGTAAAATATTTTATTTGAAGGTTTGAACAGAATTTGAGTTCAATCAAAAAGAAAAATGCAATAGTGTATTTTCCGAAGAAAATACACTAATAAAGAAGGAATACCCACCTAACTATATCCATAATGGTTATAGGATTTGGATATGCAGATTCGATGACTTCTAATACTTTCTTTTCAGTTATTTCTGCAGGCTTATTCAGAATTGTTTCATCTGTAGAGACTGAAAAAAAGAGAAATGATTATGGATATCTCAACAGTTTTTTAAAGAAAATAGTCGCAGAAAAAAAAAAAGTTTGGCAAAAACCGATCAAAAAGCTATTTCATTCGAAGGTCCTGCCTTAAAGATAAAAAAATGTACTTATTTCACTTCATGCAACTTTTCAATGCTTAACAAGAGCAGTGAAATTTAGTGCCAATGTATGGAACAGGGTAACTACTCGATCTGTAAATATTTAAGTAGCAGGACTGAGTGTTCTTCAATTAATCCCTTAAAGTTCTACTTGACAAAAAATGCTACAACTTATTGTTAGCTGGACAGGAATTTTTTGGTTCTTTGCCAAAATTTAAATAAAATTCGAAGAACTTTAAAACTTCTGAGACTGCAGCTATTAGACCTGATTTTTTACTTGATTGTGAATTCAACAGCCTAGTGCCTGCTTGAAATTAGATGGATATTTCTCATAGCGCTGTCATCTTGAGGTACCTAAATGACCCAGTACGAGATTTCAAAAGTTATCATGGAAAATACAATAAAATAAGGATATTCTCTGGTGTTATCTAAATTTTTTAAGACAAGAATAAAATTTTTAGGTGAGGCGCATAATATAAAATAAACAAAAGGTTTCTTTGGTCACACAAAGAGCACAGCTATGAGCAAAAGATTCTAATCATTCCCTTTTGAGGCAGACTCCGGTGACAAAAATAACTAATCTCAGTAGAATTAGTAAGAAGTAATACTTACGCGGCCTTGCAGGAACACTCGATTGATCTAATTGTTTCAATTCTATTTCTATCTTTCTAATTACTGGGTAGTTATGTTGCATCAGTTTCATGATTTTTTTTATAAATCCTACATAATCTGAAAACAAATAATACAAATGGTAAAAATGAGGCTGCAGATTGATGGCTGAATTCATGCCATTATCATTATTTCTTTTTATGCTATTTATTTATTTTTTTAATTCTTTTTGGCATGTAATAAGTCTTGTAAAGATCAAATTGTTGTCCAAAGTACGGTAAATTTTTGTTGGTGAATGTTTTTTGTTTTAATCTTCAATACTGTTTGGAGAACACAAACTAAGCATAAATTAATCACCCTCGATTTCGAGCTGCCAACTGGGATTTTCCTCAGTGTTCTCATCGGCCTGTCTGTCCGTGGTCACTTTGTGGTTCGTCGTCTCCCTCAAGAAAGAACGTCACTCCACTTCAATGTTGCCAAATTTTCCCTCCCAAATTGTGTGTTTACCAGGAGAATCTTGGGCGTTTCCAACTGAAAATTTCACTGATTTTTTCTCAAATTTCATACAAAAATCAGACAAATCCTTGTATTCAAATCGCAAAGGTGCATTTTTTGTAAAATTACTTAATGTTTGATTCAATTAAGTAACCTTGCTATGAATTTACGTTCCTTTGTCCGGGAGACGACGACTTGTCAATTTCAAAGGTGCTCATCATAGTTTTTGGAGACATTAGAATTTCTTGTCTCTATATTTCTATCAGCCAACTAGGTGTGACATTTAATCCAGCACACCCAGCATCACTTTTACTCCTAACCTGTTAGAAACTTTAAGAGTAACTGCTAATTTCATTTTAGTTTTCGAGATTTGACAGAGTTGACAGCTGGTCTATTATTGATTATGGCAATCTGATAAAACGTGACTTGAAGATTTTCACAATGTAGAGAAGTTAACTTCTCTTTCTTACTTTTTTGTTGTCTAATTCATTTACCTCCCTTTCCATAAAGTATAAAATTTCTTCTATGCTAAAGTGCTAAAAACAAAGACCTGCATGCAAAAACGATCATGTCATACCTCTAGGAAAATCTTGAGGTGCTACAAGATCTCTGAAAAAGTTTTGTGCAGCTGAAGGGTGCTCAAAAGCAGGGCATGATGGTTTAAACCAAAATTTGAGTGTCCTACTTTCTTGTGTGCGAATTTCTGTTTGAGCGTTCACCAAAAATACTCGAAACTGCACTGACTGCTGGGCCACTGTGATGTTATCAATATCTGCAACAAAAAGTAGAAGCCTGTATTATACCTGTGTACCTAACTCGTTATGGTTAAAAAAGCCATCCTTTTGAGGATTTAAAGGCTGAATTAAACAATACTGTCTCGAAAAATGATTCAGTTGCGGAAATTTTAAGATGCAGTACCTAATCAAAATGCATGATTTTTGTAATTTCACTGACAAATTATAATTATGATAAGAAAACATTACAAATTTAATACAGCATGGCTTTCAAAAAACCTTCTAAAGTAGCGTATCGCACTGCGTTCTTTCCCGTTCGCCGTTCCAGCATGAGTGAAGGAAAATCACGAAGAAACAAATTTAGCCTGGAAGTTATGTAAAAGTATTACACTTTAAGGACTGTTGCCTATTCAATTGATTGAAGGCGTCTCAGCATGCCAATCAGTAAGTTACGGTACGGAATTATCCAGTCATGATCATCGATTTTGACAAAGGAATCTTTTCGAGTACTTATCAAATCGTAGGGGAAAAATGGGCCTACAACTGCAAAAAATGGTTTGAAAAATGTTTTTGTAAGTTAGAGAAAATAAAGTGTCTTTGATTTAAAACATGTTCTTGACATTTTTTACGATGTTGCCTTGAAGAGTGGATCACATTCTACCAATCCAAAGAGCGCTATAAAAGCGACTCATATATATATATAAAAATTGGTGATAGGAGCTGCGTTTCAAAATACCATAGGAGTTCTTATAGCCGACTGAAGAAGGCGGTAGAAAATCATATAGCTGGCTGTAGAAAGTGGAAACAATCATACGGCCGGGCTACACGAAGCGATAAAAAATTATACAGCCGAGCTATAGTTCCTATCGCCGGGCTTTACACATTATCGCCTGGCTGTTGCCTTTTCGCCATCGGCTATAAAAGGCTATAAGAAATTGTGTAGAAATTCGTGTGCATTGTAAATCCTTAAGTTTGTACGGAATCACCTTAATAATTACAAAACTCACATTATTATATTTTCCTTTACTACATATTCTTTCTCATCAATTAAAATGAGAATAATCCATACAGAGTGTGCAAACATTTCAAAGTCATGAGTTGAAAAACGCTGACTCCACGAGATTAAATATTAGAGCCTAATATAAAGCGGCGGACTGGCGCCTACAAACCTAACAGGAATACTTCACGCATTGCGCAATGCGTGAAGTATCCCTGTTAGGTTTGAAGGCGCCAATGCGCGTTTCGCGCTGGCTGCCCACCCGCCGCGCCGCGCCACAGCGTACCAAAGCGCTTGAAGCAACTATTTCACACCAGAGGTATTACACAGTATCATACAAAATTGCAGGTGCTCCAACATGTTAGGAATGGCAGGCATCCTTCAAAAGCACGGAGCTTTCCTCGCAAAATAAATCAAGATACTGCGGCCCAAAAAGAGAGCGGTAGTCACTAAGTCCTAGCATCCGTAATTAGTAACGTTTAGCATACACTTTATCGCCAGGCTGTTGCTTAGTCGCCATCGGCTATAAAAGGCTATAAGAAATTGTGTTGCCGGCTATAGAAGCTATTGGAAATCTTACAGCCGGCTGTAGGTCTATGGTATTTTGGAACACAGATTCTACGGCCAATTTTTACCAGGGAATAAATAAACGTAGAAGAAGACGGTACTTTTCATGAAGTGCAAATTCGATCAATTAAAACCACTTTTAAGTACCAATTATTCTCAGAGGATAAGATCAGACAGTTAATATTGCTATCAACATGAAAAGTATTATTACACAATACAAACCGTACTAATTATCATCATTTATATGATAATTATTTTTCTTCGACAAAATCTGGATGAAAATGGAATTCTACACAAAATTGAATTAGCAGTTTTAATCCGATCTTGGTTACTATTGAATTTCTATTGGTTCTAAAACGGCAGTGGTTCTCGAAGGCGGACACGTAACATCAGCTGTTACTACATTAAATACAATTTATTTATGTTAAATACAAAAGGACGGTTGATCCGATTACTGTAAACATTTCTGGGAATATTCTTTGTGCACAGAGAAAATTCCCTAGAACTTTCAAACATATTAGCAGAAACGCTCTTTTCTTTTGCTGGTCGAATCGGCGACAACTGATGTCACTTGGTTCCTCTTTCGAAAAACAGCGTTCATCTCGCAATCCTCTCGTCGAATTTCATGCTTGTGAATCTGGCAGATTAGGTTACCTTCGGTGATGACTTTGTTGATGACGATTCCCTGGTGATCGCCTCCTCCGACGTGAACTTTGTCGTTGGCGGCTTCCTTGATGACGACCGGTTTCCTCTCGATCATCAGCGTCGTCGAGTTGGCCGTCTTGCCTTTCGGCGTCATCACGATTTGTTCTGCGGGCAAGAATGAGAGGAAAACAAATTATTCCATCGGATTTGTGGAAAATAAATTGTGGAAATATATGTAATATGTAAAACTTCATTTGGACCACATTTTGCAATTCTGAACTATAGTTTGTGGCTCAGTTTAGAAACAACGTATGCACTATTAGTTTCCGTATGCAAATTAACATATGTTTTGACGAATGAGCCAGAAATCGTAGGTCCAAAGTCCAAAATGTAGTCCATTTGGGCTTCATACTCAGATATGTCACAGAATTTAGATAATTGAATTCCCTGACAAGATTTGGTCAAATTCCTCGACAATTGAAGATATATGTATATGAGCCAGAAATAAGGATTCCTTGTTGCAAAATGAAACCCACTTTGGTCCTTCAAAAATTCCCGAATTTTGCACGCGAAAATAAGCCCCGCCTCTAAAATACGAAATATTTTGAACAAAAGACAATTGAGGGGCTTGGAAGACAAGGGGCATACCTGAGTGCAGTTTTCGAAAAAATTGAGTTATTAATGATTTCAAGGAAAACTAGTCTTGATGCATATCCTGTGAAAAATTCAATCCCAATATCCAATTTTTAAGCATCAAAAAGTCACCATAAACTGTCTTTCCGTCATAAGGATCCGTGTAATTTCAAAATTTCAAACACGTATTTCTCGAAATAGCAAAAACTGCACCCGTGCGCCTTGTCCTTCAAGTCTCTCAATTGTTGCTTACGTTCAAACAATTTTTTTCAACATAAACCTTTCAACTAAGTCGTCCGTCACAAATCAAGGAATGTGATTAGGGTTCACGTCCTGGGTGCGATAACAAGGGGCTAGCCTCCCCCCCCCCCAAAAAAAAAAAAAANAAAAAAAAAAAAAAAAAAAAAAAAAAAAAAAAAAAAAAAAAAAAAAAAAATATACAGTATAAAGGCGTTGCGAATTAATCGAATCAGATGATATGCAAGGCTCGTATTATTTGAACGTGTCATCTGATTCAAGGAAAGAATCAAATCAGCGTGTCGTTGAGCTATTGTGGAATGACAATCGAGAATTATCTCGTTGGCGTAATTTTTTCGAGAGCATCATGACGTCATTTAGGCGCGCCTCTGGCAGTAAACTCGTCGTAATCACGTTTATAAATGTTGAATCACGAGAGAGCTCGGAATTTCTGCGAAAATGACGATGGACCGGTGCACACGGTATTTTATAATTTTTTTTTAATACACCTCGGCAGACAATTATTGAACTCTTCAGAGCACGGTGGCGACTTTTAGATAGCTAACTTCGAGGTCAAAATTGGAAGAAAAAACCGTGGGAGGGGCAGTGATGCAATGTGAAATTTCACTTAACTGCGATCGAAACTTCCACAAAATTTCACGTACAATTTCATCTGGCAAAGAAAATTTTACAAAATTACAAAAAATCTCAGTATGATACTTCATGAATTTTCATTTTTACAAAGTGTCATGAAATTTTACATCTCGGGAAGGCGGAGGGTGGAGTGAGGGTTTCGAAATGGTGGGTGCCGGACTCCGCGACAAAGGAGAAGATAGTCCAAAATTCCAAATTTCAACGTGGCGCAATGGTCCACTAGACAATGTACGAATTTCAGCATTCTGATACATGTTTCTTACTCACAATTTCACGTAAAACACGATGCGCACAACAAAAATTACCGATATCAACTCCTTACGAAGATATTTAATCATTCTTGATGCGTAAATTCAAACCACCCGCTCATTAAAACTCAATGCTCTACGTGATCCACATCGCGCGCCAAACATTATTATGACAGTCTCTGCGATATAAAAATCTGGCAACCTCAATTTTGACGCTTTGGCTCAGCTGTAGCAGGTTGTTTATAGTTTGAACAACACATGGTGGGAAATGAACATTGCTCGATTGAGAAGCTTGCTGAAACCGTTGTAGTGCGCGATTTGACTCACGTAGAGCTTTGAGTTTCTTGTGAGCGGGCAGTTCAAATTCCTTACGACCAATGTGAAATACAAACGTTAATATCTTCCTTAGAAGTTGGTTTCAGTCATTTTCGTTGCGCGAATCGTGCTTTGCGTGAAATTTTGGTTGAAAAACATGTATCAGAATCCTTTAATTCGTACCTTGTATAGTGGTCCATTCATGAGTGGCCAGTCGGTGGAGACAACTTCTAAACGCTTACTCCAGAGCTACCGTATGATGTTACTAAAGATTCCGGAGCTCCCGGAATTATATGCAGGGCCGGATTTACTTACTTGCCGTCCATGGCCGCCTGTATTTTGCCGCCCCCTTCTCATTCGTTTTGAAACATCAATAAAACCATCAAGTGAACGTGCCGGAGGGGTGCATTAAACGCGTTTACTCGTGTTAGACACATTTTTTTCGAAAGCCCTGTCAATACTACTAGCAAAAGTTCACGGAACTTTGCGCGAAAGTTAAGTCCCGTAAACCTATCTCTTTGTGGACAAGGCCTTCCATTTATAAGCATTGAACTAAAAAATTAAGAAAGAACAAAAATAAATGTGGTTTAATAATTTTAACTTAACCGCCGCTCTGCGCTGATCGCACTGTATTTGGCGCAATGCGGGAAGTATTCCTACAGTCTTGTAGGCGCTATGCGTTTCACGCCGACCGCTGCGCTGCTGACCGCACTGTGTCTGACGCAATGCGTGAAGTATTCATGCAATCTTGTAGGCGCTAATGTGTTACATGCCGACGACCGCCGCGCCGAGGGCTTCTCCTTTTCACCTCAAGTCCTCGTCATCTTTCCTCTCTGCGCTGAGCTCCGTGTTTAGTCCCTCTCTTAACTCGACCAATGAAAGGTGTTGTCTCTTGTATCACCGAAAAACGACACAATTAGAAATTACTATACTCTCAGGAAAGAGAGATTTTATTCCCTTTTCTCATTGATAATTTTTTTTCTGAATCCCATTTTTGTATGCTTGCATTTAAAAAAAATTGCAAAATTTGCCGCCCCCTAAATATGCCGCAATGGGCCGCGGCCCATGTGGCCACCCCTTTAATCCCCCCCCCCCCATCACATATAATTTATATGTGATTCTGATTTCCAAACGTTCCGAGAAAAATTCCAATTTGTTCAAGAGTTACGGGAAAAAAATCCGAAATACGCCCAGATTGGGTTCTAAAGATCGTCAAATTTGATAATAAAAATAATCTAATTTAATCGAGGAATCGGTCGAACTGATGAAGAACCCTGACATTCCAAACATAGCTAGTAGCTGGAAGTTTCGGGAATTTTGGAGATTCCAAGAGAAGTTCCGAAATTCGGAGTTAATTTCGGGGAATGACAGCACTGGCTCACTCTTTCGTGCACTGTGGCCGAATTTTGTCTGCTCTTTCACACGGAAATGCAACATTCATCGATGAGTCCAAACCGCACCACCGACCAATCAGAAGCGCTAAGCCGCAGCCAGACTGAAGTGCAGTCGAGACTCGTCCTAGTGTATTTAAGTTCGGCGGAAGGAACAACAAAAGTCGATCCCTGAGATCGAATTTTGTCGGTCGTCTTTCTGTCGTACATAAATGTACTTAAGACGAGTCTCGACTGCAATTAAGTCCGACTTAGCGCTTCTGATTGGTCGGTGGTGCGGTTTAGACTCGTCGACGAATGTTGCATCTCCGTGTGAATTGAGAAAGAGCCGACAAAATGGAGATGTTGCATGTGTGAGGAATTTGCGATTTGACTGTTGGTTCTTATGTAAAAGTTCGCTAGAAATACGACGGTGCCACTGGTTTTCTCTGAAATCAACTCCCAAGCTCAAAAAAAGCTCTCAAGTTGAGGCCAAAATCGAGGGGATATCCCACCCTACCCTGAGAGTCCACCTCTACATCAAGACAAACTCTCCATGCAAAGATAGGGAGAAAATACATTGACAGGGCTGCCACTTCATTTGGGGACTCTAAAACTGAAAACACGGCAACCCTGCTAATGTATTCGTTCCCTATCTTTGCATGGAGAGTTTGTTTTGATGTAGAGGTGGACTCTCAAGATAGCGTGGGATATCCCATCCATTTTGGCCTTAACTTGAGAGCTTTTTTTGAGCTTGGGAGTTGATTTCAGAGAAAACCAGTGGCACCATCGTGTTTCTCGCGAACTTTTACATAAGAATCAATAGTCAAATCGCAAATTCCTCACACACGCAACATCTCCATTCGGCCCCTGGATAACGTGACGAGGTGTGACGGGAAATGTCCCCACCGTCGTGTTTTTCTTGCCGTGAGCGATGATGGAGATGGCTCACTTATCCCGGGCCGGGCCGACGGGCCCCGGAACCGGGAGCCTCGTTTTGACGGGTGCGTGGGGGCCGCTGTCGTCGCCGGCGCCGGGAGCCGGGAACAAGATAATTACGAGAGCGATTTGCATTCAAATCCGTCGTTTGTCGCACGCTCAACACCGCCTCGCCGCGCTCAAGGACTCCTCCGAGGTGTTCCATTCACGGGGGACCATTGTCCCGTCGAATTAAATCCATCGCGCCCACCTTAGATCCGCACGAGCCATCACTGGGTGAACGGGGCTCTTCTCAAGAGGCAAGACACCACCGTGTCGGTGAGGGGGTGGTGGGTGGTGGTGGGGTGTAGTACATCTACTGAAGAATATCGAACGGAAAGGACCCCGCACACTCCTGAGACTTAGTACCACGAGCGATCTCCGATTTTTTTAGTGCAGGCAACACGTGTGGGGTGGCTTGCACCGCAACATGGATGGAGAGGGGGGGACGAAGAAAGAAAAAGGGGGATGGAAAGAGCGAACAGAGAAAGAAAAAATGTATCGTTTTTTTGGTAGCTTTATAGCACTCCCTGGCGACTCCTCCACGACTCCTGACCTCTACTCACCAAGGCCGGATTAAGGGGGTGGCCACATGGGCCGCGGCCCATGGCGGAAAAATGTAGGGGGCGGCAAATTTTGCAATCTTTTTGAATGTAGGTATCAAAACAAGAGAGAAAAAAATCGAATTCAGAAAATAAATTACAATCTAAAAAAGACGGCAAAATCTCTC